AGGAGACTTGAGATCGATTCTTGTGAGGGGAACATTTTTTATCGAATATCTCGGTCTTTCTACTACAAGGATGTTGTTTCTCTCTCAGCCCGGGTTGGTCCCGACAGGCAGGGGTCAGGAGCATGCCTTCTAAATGATCTCAATTGTAGAGCCTATCTATAATTATAAGGGTGTAAAAATACCTCTACACTTAAAAAAACAAAACAAATATAATGATACAATAAACTGTGTATAATGCATGTGTGTGTGAGTGAGAGAGTGTGTGAGTGCCCGCCTACATGTAAAATGTATTATACAAAAATCTAAGTGACCAGTAAGTCCAAACAATACAGCTACATGAACAAAAATTGTTAATTGCATTTTATAAGATATATGACTGACTATTTACTGTCAAATGCACTTGTGTTTTCTATGAGCGTTCATATTTTTTTATATTTGAACATGAGAAATCTATGTCAGCCTACAATGTACTACAGCATGCAGGCATGTTTTATTACACATGTATTTCAAAAATAGACCAAACACAAAGACGGTCAAAAGAAAGAGTTTCTTAAAACTAAGAGAGAGAGAGAGAGAGAGAGAGAGAGAGAGAGAGAGAGAGAGAGAGAGAGGGGGGGGGGAGAGAGGGGGAGAGAGAGAGAGAGAGAGAGAGAGAGAGAGAGAGAGAGAGAGAGAGAGAGAGAGAGGGGGGGGGAGAGAGGGGGAGAGAGAGAGAGAGAGAGAGAGAGAGAGAGAGAGAGAGAGAGAGAGAGAGAGAGAGAGAGAGAGAGAGAGAGAGAGAGAGAGAGAGAGAGAGGGGGGGAACAGACAGACAGACAGACAGACAGACAGACAGACAGACAGACAGACAGACAGACAGACAGACTCAGAACATTATACAACAATGTAGTGGTTTTTGATAAGCAAAGTCACAACCAAAGTTTTATCCTGATATTTTATCAGAAAATGAGCGTCATTATTACATGTGCCATAACATTAAATGCAAGAACACTGTTCCCAAGTGGCATAATATGCTCCTATGTTTACACTTATGAAAGGTAAATGAACATTCACAAAATATCTCTTTATTGTTTTGTATCCAGCCCAGAAGCCAAAATTACAATCTTCCTATGTGTCTGATAAGCATGTACCTGTACTTCGTTTACCAACAAGGGCATGAGTATACAATCTTTTAGAAAGAAGGAGCAAAATTGTTTTATTATTTGGATCTAAATCCCCAAACTTTTAATGTCATTTGAGTTCATAAGCAACCATTATATATCATTGCAACCAGCGGTCTAACAAACAGATCATTCAATGCATACAACGAAGAGCATTGTTCTTTTTTTCTATGGATCTTTAAATGATCAGTAATCATAAATTATACCATGTAAATATGTATATATTTGTCAATTGTTATTATTCTTGTTGAAGTAGTTCCGATTCATAGTGTTGACACATAAATAAAATAACATCAGCTTGTTTCATGGTCAGTCTTTTTAATCTTTTTCTGTCATGAATGTTTACAAGTTGTTTTTGCAATGAAAAATGAACAACAAAAGTCAAGAACATAACACTATAATTTCAAACATCCATGAATCCAACATATAAAAAAGACGGCTTTTAATAACTGTTTGAATGTAATTCAACAGGCCAACATTTATCAACACAGAGGTAACTACAAAACTAACAACAAACATTTGTCTCTGTGTCCATTCACTCCCTTCCTTAAATAGCTTTCTGCTTTCCTTACTCTGTGTAATTATAATTGGTCACATCATCCAATGTACAAGTTTTTAAGTATGATACATGTATCTGGTTGAAATGTTCCACCCACTCCCCAAAACTTCGGCAAAGGCCCCATGTTCTAGCACACACCAATACAGAAGCAATAAAGTTTTTCTCTTCATACAAAAAGAACCCAGGCGAACACAATATGAAGGGAGACCAGTGGCGAATCAGTATTTCTGGCAGTATGACACCACACTGTGACTATTAAAATAAGTCACTCAGATGATAGACTTTCAAAATGTTCCATCACAATAGCTTAAATCAAACAAGACAGGGCAAGTACGTATAAATGAGAAGTAAAAGGTTGTACCGGCATCCGATTCGGACATTGGGGATTGCCTTGTTAGTGTTCCTGGGCCTTCGGCATATTGTGGTAGGGTGGCCAGTTCCTTTCCACGCCGCCTTTACTTCCCCAACTCAAAGTCAGGTACCCATTACTGCTGGGTGGGCAGGAGGAGGCGAAAAAAATCTGTGTTCGAACCGAGGCTTGAACTCGGACTTTCCACTTCGGAGAAGAGCAAGTGATTAGTGATATACGATAATACAAGTAGTTATATTTTCATCATATCAATATTTGCTAGTCAGTTACACATTTACATCCATTGATGAAGCAAAAAGAAGGCATGCTAGACAGTTTGCAAAATAGTTCACACTCTTCAAGGTTTCTTAGAATCTGTTGCAAAAGCAATTAGATTTCACTTACAAGGATTACATCCTTACTCTGTTTATAATTTTAATTTTATTAGTTTAACCCCCCCCCCCCCCCCCCTCCACACTGTAAGGCTATTTAACGGGAGGAGCTACCCTTGAGAACCATTTTCTATTTTTGTTGCCCAAGATCAAATCTAAGTACCCATATATAAGTAAGGCATAGTAAAATCTCTTGATACGCAATTTTATTTCGGCATGGATACAGCAGTTGCTATGGAAACGGCCGCCATCTTGAAAATAAACAATGAATTTTAAATCCCTAAGGCTTTCTTATAATTTACTGACCAAATTTGACCAAATTTGGTGAGATTATACCTGAAGCAGACCATATGAGAGTAACAGCAAGTTTTTTTCAATAAGTTCTAAAGAAAAAAAAAAAGAGAATTTTCCCAAAGTATAAAAAACTTTTTCTAAATTTAGATTGCGTAATCGCTTGCCAATGGAAAAGTGTTATTGTTTTCGCAAATATCTCTCTGTTCCATTGATGGCAGCCTTGCCAACTGTTTCCTGAAAGTGTCATGTCAAAAGGACGAAAACTAAGGAACGAGTAGGGAAAAAAACTGCCAAAAAATTACATTTTGCGAAAAGCGACAATTATTGTGAAAATTCACTATATTATTAACCCATCCTCATGTTTTCAAAGGCAATTTATGAGAAAAATAAAAGCTTTCTCAATTGTATCCATGCTATTTTTAAACTAAAAACTGGTTGATCTTAAAAAATCAGCCAACATAAAATTTACATAGCCTGACCCAAAAGCTGCAAAATCAAGGGTCGCTCCTCCCCATAAGAGACCAGACCTCCAAACTAAAAGCCCATCTTGGATAGGATCAAACCATTCAACAATACCCCACTGAGGGCTCAAACCAGGGTCATCTGCACCATTGCCCAGCATGATACTAGCTGAGCTATTGGCGTACTGGTTTTTTTTTATAGAGATACCCATTAGATACCCAAGGCTGAGAAGACTTCAAAATAATTGTGAAGGCTAATACTAATACAAAATGGTCAAAAATTTAGACACAACATGGGGAAATGAACAAAATGACTAGTTCAAGTTTTCCCTCATTTTGGATGAGTCAAAGTGTACAACTTGGCAATGAAATCTATGAATCTGTATCTATGAATCTGTATTGAAGCATGAAAATATCCCATCTTTTCTAATGTGAAATCAGTTCTACGGAAATCATTCCTGGTCGGTCTAGAAATTTATTTTTCAATGCACATCAGTCCACAGTTATGAAAAAAGTTAAACATGAGTACGGTATATGGAGAGAAAACTTATGTAAAGTTTGCAAAGTTGTGCAAAAATGAAGACAACAGCAAAAATCAAACTGCAATCTGCAAAAAAAGTCACTGACAAATGATGAACTAACGGTTCAAGTTTTAAAAGAGTAAAGCAAATTTCACACCGACGTCGCAAGTAGGAAGAAAAATTTATAGAATTCTTTAAAAATGTCAACTTTGGAAACTTAACAAAACATTTTCCATCGGGAGTTTACATACTATTTTGACAAATTGTTCTCATTTTAAATGGATCACAGCATTGACATTGTTTGCCACATGTCACTTCACTGTGAGAGCACTCTAAGAGCTCACTCTTCACTACTGGTTGACATCTGAGCGTTTGCAGTAGTCGTCAGTTTCTCAAGCTCTGCCAAATACGTTTTGCGGAGAGATTTGAGGTACATCCTCAAAGCATCCTCATCCATACGTGAGTTCTTGGCAACTTGGATCAGTTTCATGGCAAGGCTGAAGTCAGCATGTTGTCTCAGTACAACAATATCTCTTCGACGAGTTTTCTGGATGGATGGGTAAGCAAAAGGGACAAAGGAGGAAGTCAGAATGTAATGGGGTGAAAGAGTTTCAAAGAAGGGGGGGGGGGGTGAGTGGCTCAGATTTAAATTATCTTTTACTGTATGATGAATATATTTTCTAGAAATAGCAAGTATTTATTCGTTTCTCCAGGTAAACAAATTTATTTTGAAAAAAGGTTCTACACAGTTTTGATGGGACAGAAAAATCACACGCATGAAAGCGCATGTGTAAGATGGAAATTTGTAAGTATGACCTTCAACCTTAACAATTTGACTCATATTATCAGACATATCATGTCACTCTATGTAAATTTTTTTAATTCTATTGCCACAGCTACGTAATATGAAACAACAGAGACAAAGGGTACTCATCATTTATATATATAACACTCCCTTGTTGAAGAGAAAATGACCACACAGGTGCCTGGGGAGTTTCATAATGCTTTTCCTTTTATGAAATGGAGAACAAACCACTCAACTTCTCAGTGCGAACAACGCGACTATCCTAAGTTACTTCCAAAGAGTGAGGCATAATACGATACCAAGCAGATGACAGGAAACAGGTGTTGCAAGTCCAGAACAAACAAGCGCTGATTTGTTGGACTAAGACTGAACTGAACGTGGTCAACCTGGCATCAACTGAAGCAAATGGTGCAGAATGGCTCCCTGCACTATAAATATTAAGAGAGTTTGAGCAAGGGTATATCCCTGCATATTGTACACATAGAATTATTTCAAAGCATGAAAATGTGAATAACCTTGTCATTTTACAGTGATTTTTTGAGAAAAGAACACTTACCTGATGAAACAAAATTGCAACATATATTCATTCTCAGCAATCATTTTCTCAAACTTTGCTGCAAGAGGAAAGAACAAATTAATTTTTAATTAAAACAAACAGGAAACTTACCTCCCTTCTTTGCTCAATGTTGTCAGCAATTTTTCTCGCATCTTCAATGACACTTGTTGGGATGGTGGACATTGAGGCAAGCTGAAGACCTAATAACGCCAACAAATACAAGAAACGAAAGGGATAGAATCAGAAACAGGTTTTACGGTGGTATGCCCTGTAGGGAGGGAGGGGAATAAATTTACAAAAACAACTTAAAAATAAAATCCTCATAAAAAAGATCTTTCTTGGCCTTTCTGATTGTAGGCATGGAATGATATCCTTCACAGAAAGAGACTAGCTTCTAACAAAATAGAAACTGAAAAATATTTGGAATGAATATATTCATATGAGGCAGCGTGGTGAAATCAGGCGCTCATCAAAATAACGAAATCGGAGAAACAGTCAATTTTCCGCTAGTTTGGACATTTTTATCCAATTTTCATTTTTTGGCCTAACCTTTTTTATTTCCAGATAAAACACATTTCCATTTGAATTTTATGGAAAAACAGTGAGTAAAGGCACAAAATATGTCATTTTTCAGTTTTCAAAGACTCTTTGGCTATTGGAGTTACCAAACTTTGGCGGCCGTTTTCTCGTTTATTTCACCACTGAAACCAGGCGACCTCACTTCCTTCAAATGGAGGTATCTTGAATTTTATTCAAGATAAATAGATTATATTTATTTCATTGGAAGCAAGGCAAATAAATCAGCTTTCAGATGATACCAATAACTCCACATGCCCAAAAATCGACAGGTGCCTGATTCCACCGCGTCGTGACACATATTACCTAAATGGAGAGTTAATGATATTCTATTCAACTTTTTCTGGCAAGATGGGGCTACACAAATAGTGCATCACTGCCAGAGTCTCATGCACTAGGAGAGCAGGAGAAGTAAACATTAGTTAAATGCAACAGTCTTGATACTTGATCAATTTAAAGTAAATGAAACAGCCGTTGAGACAGATGATGACAACCTCTCCCTCCTTTAATTTAATTTCAACTTGATCGATCAATCTGTTCCCATTTTGTAAAGTAGTTTTCCGTTCTTGTTTTATTGTCTCATATTTAGTCACTAAGACATAAGCAACAACACAATATTTAGAAATATAAATTCACAATAATTATGAACAGGACAACAGAAAATAAAAGTAAAAGAAAAGTCAGATACCCTGTAGGACATGGAGGTTTGTATCATCATCATCATAATGCCTTTCACCCCTGGCAGGGTATAGGCCACATACAAGCTCCTTCCATTTATCTCTGTCCTGAGCCATCCTTCCAAGCTAGTTCCAAGTGAGCTTTATCTCTCTCATGTCCCTTTCCACAAAAATCTCCTCCATGTTTCCCATGGCCTACCCCTGCCTCGTGCTCCTTGTGGGTTCCACTGCAGTGACTGTCTTGTGATGTTTCCGCTGGGCTTTTTTAAGGTGTGTCCAATTCATTGCCATTTTCATAGTCCTATTTCTACTTCTATACCCTTTTGTCCTGTCCTTTCCCACAGCTCTTCATTTCTTATTCTATCCTGCCACTTGATTCTTAGAATACTCCTCATACATCTGTTCATGAAAGTCTGGACTTTATTCAGTACTGTCTTTGTTGTCTTCCAAGTTTCGCAGCCGTAGAGGAGCACAGACTTGACTTTGGAGTTAAAGAGTCGAATCTTGGTGCGCAGTGAGATGTTGCTTGCTTTCCAGACTTTTGATAATTGATTGAATGCTGACCTTGCCTTGGCGGTTCTTGCCTTAATATCTGCCTCTGTTCCACCTTTACCATCAATGACACTTCCAAGGTAGGTAAAGGAGTCCACTTCTTACACGGGAGTGTCTTCCACTGTCACAGTAGAGCTTGAAACTTTTCCTAGTTTCACTACTTTTTACTTACCTGGATGTATATGTAGGCCAACACTCCTTGATAGGCTGTTGAGTTCCTTGGTCTTTTCTTGCATCTGAGCATGTGTGTAAGAGAGCAGTGCAAGGTCATCGGCGAAGTCCAAGTCGTCCAGCTGCTGCCAAGGGATCCACTGTATTCCATTACGCTTGCCTCTGGTGGCTTCTTTCATGACCCAGTCAATTGCCAATATGAAGAGAAAAGGTGAGAGCAAGCATCCTTGTCGCACTCCTGTCTGTACCTGGAATGGTTCTGAGAGTTGTCCTTCATGGAAGACTTAGCAGTTTGTTCCATCATAGGTGACCTTCACAAGCTTGACGATTTTGTCAGGTATTCCAAAATGCAGCATGAGTTTCCACAGAGTTTCTCGGTCCACGCTGTCAAACGCCTTTTCACAATCAATGAAGTTGACCACGAGAGGTGAAATCCATTCAAGCGATTGCTCAACAATGATGCGCAAAGTAGCGATTTGGTCCACACATGATCGTTTTTTTGCGGAACCCTGCCTGGTTTCCTCTGAGCTTCTCGTTTGTTGCCAGCTTGATTCTCTCCAGGAGTATCCTGTTAAAGACTTTCCCAGGTATGGACAGGAGTGTAACGTCTCTGTAGTTGTTACAATTGCTGATGTCTCCCTTCTTTGGCAGCTTGATTAGGTGGCCTTCCTTCCAGGCTGATGGTATTTTCTCCTTTAGCCAAACCTTTTCAAACAGAGCATAGAGAATTTCCACTAACGTATCTTTATCTGCCTTAAGGGCTTCCGGTGGTATATGGTCGGGACCAGCTGCCTTGTGGGACTTCAGTGTTTTTATAGCGGCTGCAATTTCCTCTCTTGAAGGTGGTTCCGTATATTGGGAGGTCATTTCTGGCTGGAAGAATTTCTAGTTGGTTTTCTGGAGGTGGTCTGTTCAAGAGTTGATCAAAGTGTTCTCTCCATCGGTTAAGTTGCCCTTCTGGGTTGAAGATAGTCTTTCCCTCTTTGTTTTTCACTGGCAAAGTGGGCTGCTTGCTGAACCTACCTGAAAGAGTTTTTGTTGTCTGGTGTACAATCCGCAAGTGCCCGTCTGTTGCTGCTTTCTCTGGCCATTCAGGTAGGTATTCTTGTCCTTCTTCTTGGAATTCTTTACCTCCCGGTTTACTTCGGTGGAGGTTTGTATAGACTAACCATAAACCAAAACGAAAATTCATAGCTTTTCCAGACTATCAACAACTCAAGCCAACAACATATCTCTTTCTGAAAGGGACTCAAATCTAATTCAGGTTCACCAGAACGAAGTACTGATATCCATAATACAGTACTAAGAAGACATCTTTAAGCCAGACTCGACCAGGAAATGAACTCATACCCTCTCAGGAGCAAGTCCAGCAGCATAGCCACTGGGTCACTTTGAAGAAACGATGCTACAATAAGCATGTGTGATGAGAACAAACTAAACATACCATAGTGGGTCTCTGGTGTAACCCCTCGTGACAGGACATGAGTGTAGGAAATTTTTTCACATCTGGCCTCTGCATTAAATACTCTTTGAACTTCAAAATAGTACCTGGGGATGATGAAATATAAACGATTGTGAAAATGTCAGTTGAGAAAGTAAAATCTAATTTGCATTTTGCTAGGCCTACTTCTTAGCTCTGCAGATATTTGAAGTTAACTCTTAAAACCCTGAGTCTTTTCCACCATTTCCCTGAGTTTTTTCTACAGTCACCTAAACCTGGTGCACTAGGTATCATTATGACCCCAAAAGCTTGCCTCCAACTTCTACATAGTGAAAACAAAGGCTTAATCATTACTAAAGAACTTGGATCGGGAATAGTTCCCAAAAAACAAGAAGAAAATAGCACTAAATGAAACAAAACAGTTGTCAATAGTACCGGACGCTCCCAGCTTCCAACGGGGAATAGGGTTATTACCACCAGACCCTCCAAGCGTCCGATGGGGTTTAAAGAGTTAATAACCAATAAAACCTTTCAAGAAACATTTCGTAGAGTCCTCTGTCCTTTCTGAGACTCACATGACCACACACCATACAGCATAGAATATTGTCAAAGAAGCAAAAGTTTTTGATTGATCACTGATTTCTGAGGAACTCTGTAGACAGAATCTGTTCACAATGACTTGCTCAGTTACAAAATAAAAAATATATTAGGAAACAAAAAGGTCAAATGAGCTACCCCAAGATGTATGCAGACACATCTCAAAATAAGAGATTAGTTAAGCTTACTCAGAAACATTTGGATAGTTCCTGTTCAAATCCGTCAACTGCCTGAAGTGTGTCACAAAAAATGTGAAAGCCTGTGAAGAGAGTTTGGACATTACTGAGATTGAAATATGAAAAGAAAAGCTGCAAATTATTTATGAAATATACAATAAAATAACAGTATCAGAAACAAACATTTTAACAAAAGCAAACATCAAACATTTATTTTTTACTTTCTGTATTTTAAATTATTTTAGTAATTTTTTTTTAGTGGGGGGGGGGGGGTCCGAGAGAGAGAGAGAGAGAGAGAGAGAGAGAGAGAGAGAGAGAGAGAGAGAGAGAGAGAGAGAGAGAGAGAGAGAGAGAGAGAGAGAGAGAGAGAGGGAGAGGGAGGGAGGGAGGGAGGGAGGGAGGGAGGGAGAGAGGGAGAGAGAAGAAGTCAGGAGGTGGGGGGGATGAAACGAAGAAGAAAAATGAAAGAGATGGCCAAAGATGAAAAAGACCATGAAATGAGGGAGAATGATGGTATTCTCTGAATAGCTATCTTTATGCAAGTACCAATTACGATAAAACAAGGTCCTATCCTCCTTAGGTAGTTTTCAAAAGATTTTTCCTATCTGATCGGACCAAAGTCAAACCTTTTTCTTAAGAAGACACTCTGAAATAGCCCAGCAAATACCAACTCCCTCCTCAGCACTGGTTCCTGGAAAGGCAGGAGGGTGAATATTAATTATGTAATAGTGATGAATGATCAGACCAAAATTAATATATTACAAGAGCAGGATCCTTACATCCAAAAAATGACCATCATTAAACATTTGCAGCCAATCTTTCATATAGCTTGGTCTTACCGACACAAAATTGGAGTTCCTAGCTTATAAATAATTCTACAGCATTTCAACAAAAAGTCAATTTGAACTCATTCTATTTTTGACAGCAGAAATAATAGAAAGACTCTTAAATTCAAGACCAGGAACAAGAGAACACCATCTTGAATTCATTTCCTTAATTGACATTGATTAGTTTGAACAGAAGACAAGCTTATTTATAATTTCTCTTAACAACAGTTTCTAAAATAGAATATCAAGTTTCGGCCAAAATGTAATAAAAGCATTCTTGAGACCAAATGTACTTAAGTTTCTCATCTGAAGTTGCATAGAAAGGAACAAAAGCTTGTCAGTGTAATACTAGTCAAATAAAGTTGGGAAATACAAGACAGCATGAAGCAAAGAAGTAATACAGAAAATAGAAAACAAACAAAAAAATACTGCTGGCACTCTCCAGGTAAACAAAAATTAAGCAAGGAGAAAAAAGCACAATTTTAAATTACCTCTTCCGAGCTCATCTATAATCACAAGAGAATTATCCGTAACATTCTGTAAAATGTAGTTGGTCTCTTTCATCTGAGGGAGACAGGAAAAAATTCTCATAAAGAATAAAATGTCATTCAAATAACCTGACTGATCCTTAAAACATAGCTGAATATCAGTACATTCTATTGTCTTTAGACCAGAAAAAATACCCAAACGAATTAAGCATCTAGGGACCTGGGACCTAAAATATTGAATCATGCAGCTGTGGCCTCACTGTTCCAGAGAATAAATTGTTATAGTTTTTTAGACATTTCAATCTTACTCAAAATCCATGAATAAAATGCATCTGACAATGTAGCCTACAGTTATGGAGGATCAACATAGAATATCTTATCTTTCATTGAAGCATGTGCATCACATTTCTTTAAATAAATACTGAATTATCGTCCACTTATTTACGGTATATACTATAAAAAAACATGTAATAAATTATCATGTTGCAGAACTCAAATTGAGCTTAAAAAATTAGAAAAACCTACAGTTTAATTCAGATTCAGGGAGGGGAATCATAATCATAATGGGAATGTCAAAATACCTCTAATGTAAAAGTAGAAGAGTTGGACTCCATGTCATCATCTGAGCCAATGCGGCTGAAAATCTGATCAGCAATTCGAAAGGACGCAAATTGAGCTGGTACAAAGGATCCAATCTGAGCCATGATTTGTAGCAGGGCAACCTGTCTCAGATAGGTAGATTTACCACCCTGCAAAGAAAAATTAACTGCTGACACGGATATCAGAAAATTCTAAGAAGAATGTGACTACATTTTCAGAAAATGGTTTTAAAATGTTATTTTTTCTTACAAAAACAGTTTTTTTTGTCTAGCAAATTGATAAAAAGATATTTACACAGCTAGATAAACTTCAGATGTACCAAGTTACGGCTATAAACATTTCATCTTACACAAAAAAGATTAAGGTGCCAAAACAAACTGCTCTGTAATATATAATTATATATATATAAATATATATATATATATATATAGCCTATATATATAATGCAGTCAAGCAAATATTCACTACCCGTCAAAGCACAATTGAAAATTTTAATACTCTTAACACCAGTGCTCCTTATTTTGTTGTCTTTTCTACTGCCTCCAAACACTGATAGTTACGTGTTTCACTCCCCTATCTAACATTTGACATCTGACGAGTAACCCTCAAAGATAAAAACAGAAATGTTGCCCCAGGAATAAAGTTTGCGCACCCCTGTTGATCAAGAACCCTTTTAAGGTCTAAGGAAAAGACAGAAATACTGCCATTATATAATAACTTGTCCCTGTAATAGCAACAGCATTCTGTCTGTAAATTCCATTAAAAAAGGGGGGGGACACAATACAAAAAAAAGCAGTAAGAACATGAAGATGGAGTGAGCCAGGATTTTTTTCAGAACCTTTATTTTGATATGTAATTTGTCATTTTAAGGGTTAAACACCAATTTCACTGCTGTCAGGTATTTAGGAGACAGGATCTTCAAATTTAATGTGTATCCCCAATAGGACCAGGCCAAATCGGAGGAGAGCCTTGAAAACTCTCCAAACAAGCAAAGTCCAAGAATGCCCCCCTGGGGATTCAAACAAGAGCCATCCACACCATAGTCCTGCAAAACGTTGATCTTTTATTACCTTTCATAACAGAGAAGGTAACCAAGAACATACAACTTTACCCTGATGACAACATCTTACCATGTTGGGCCCTGTGAGAACAATGAAATTGCTGTGGTCTGCTGCATACTGAGGATTTTTAAATAAAAATTGAAAGAGTCCTTTGCATTGCAGTAAAAAAACAACATAAAACAGTACATTCTGCACTTAAGAAAATAAAACAAACCAAACAATTTTATGAGAGTTTCAACAAATGATGTGAGTTCTTCTGTGGTAATAATGACTGTTCTCATAAAAGTGAAAAAAATATTATAGTAAGAAGAAAAACATAGGAGAGTAACCACCACAATCATCAAACCTGTGCACAATTTTGAAAAAATATGTTGTAAGAAATCAGTGAGTACAAAAGAGCTTTTAAAAGTCTTATTTTTTTAGTGAAGTCAATTATTCTATCCATCTCATAATTCTTTTTTTTTCAATGAGGATCTAAAATGTCTATAACTAAATTTGGGGAGAAGGAAGGGGGGGGGGGGGGCCCTCTCAGTTCAACATCTATAGAGTCATAAAAAAATTATATCCTTAACAACAATCATTTAATTCAACTATTTTTTTAACATCAGTAAAGAACTTTTAAAAAGTTATGTTCTAAATGCTAGACAAAAAATACATTTTGATGATATCTATGCAATTTGCAAATCATATCTCCTACATACAAATACAAGTAAGAAAATAGAAATTTTCAGGAAGAAATTAGGAGCCGGTTAAACTGAGTCACACTTTACTACTAGTGCTCTTACCTGTTAACTCTAGCACAAGTCCACAAAATGTTAACGTGAAATAGTTCAATAATGAATGATAAATACGATAAATTATAGCCTGACGACCTAAACATTTGGTAATACTGAAAAAAAAGTTCCACTCACTGTGTCATTGGGCACCACTATGTCACAGCTGACTTTCTGTAGGATGGGATGGTAACCTTGTTTGATGGCCAATGTGTCCGTAAACTCTGGCCGAACTGTAAGAGCAGTGCAAGCCAGAAACAGAGCATGAGATATGGGAGGAAGATTATGGTACGGATGTAGGCAAGAAAATGATTAACACAAACAAGCTTCGAAGGCAATACAGTGCATGGAATATGGATGAAAATAAATAAAAGTGATTCTGATTTAAATTTCAGAAATTTAAAATACATCTTTTCTCAAAAATGAACATTCAGTCCTCAGTGTTAATAAAGTATAAAGTACTCTACTTTGCCTGTTTCTCTGTTACTTCCTCAAAACTCCCACAATAATCTCCTGCACCCCTTCCCCTTTCAGACACACACAAATATTAAAGAAATTGTGAAATATTGTCTGAAAAATATGTCTCACAAAATGCAAATCATCCTGGTTTTTGTCACATGAATATGCCAGATATATACAGTCTTTGCTCATGTCCTTCTAAAATAAATTTCGGAAAAGAGTGAACAGAACCTCCCCTCACATATCTTTCTTCTGGACCTGTGGTGAGTCCATTAATCCATATGTGCATCACTCAAACTTACTGTAAGAGGAGAGCGTGGCAGCGTGGGCCAGGGACAGCAGCATGTCCACCATGGCTACAATGTCTGCCAGTTCGTAGAGACAGCTCACCTGACCCTGGAGGCTAGTCAGCAAATCTGTGGTCACACTGACACGTGGTGAGAAAAGAAAGAAGATGGAACAGTTTGAGAAAAGAGGAGCACATTGGCACAATAATAGTCATTTCAAACTTATTTTAGTTAGTAGAGATTTTACAGCGCTCACAACTAAAGTCTTTTCAAGCTAGGAAAAGCAAGACAAACACACAGTAAGAAAGAAACAAAAATGGTGACGCCCTCCAAACAGTCATGAAGAAGATAGAAAAGACGATTTTAATCATCCCAAAGGGGAAACCCATTAACTACAATATGACGGAAGCATTGAGTTGCATTTCATGGCGAGTCGGCAAAAAAAGAGACACATTGCACCAGTAACAGATAAGGACAGAGGTAAGTCTTATGTCTTAGTAGAGGTTTTACGGCGCTTGCAACTGCATAAGGTCATATGAGCACCAAGGAGTGGATGTCAACAGAGAAGTCCTTACAGGGAATCAGGTTTACTCTGCTCACCTCTCTAGTTTCAAAAGCACAAAGTCCGCTTAAACTATCAAGGCACCCCGGAAATAGCGGGTCACAAGAGTGTGACAACCATACAAAAGAAGTAGAGGAACAGGAAGCGTGGCCAACCCCGCCACTGACACTGCAACAGAAGCTATACGGGCCAACAGATGAACTCAGCAGGACGGCCTAATTTATGACAGATACCAGACTTCAAGTGTGATGCGATTGAGAAGAAGAAGAGTAGAGGGAAAATGACAATAGTAAGGATTAGGAAAGAAAAAGCAGCAGTTCCCTGTTGCAGTTTGGCACAGTTATGAGCATGACATTGTTCAATCAGCCCATTTACAAATCTACTGTGCATAAGAACAAGTCAATGTCCCCATTTTGGAATGGCCTAAAGACACTCCAGTCAGTAGCATCGCCCCGGAGGGGGGGGGGGGGGCATGTAAGTCTGACAGGAAGTAGAAAAAGAAGACCACATCAGAGTGCCTTGCGCATAAGCAGGTAAATAGTTCAGTCTTCTCTAACATAAACCCCATATCCAGTCACACAAATAAGACTAGTATCCTGGTACGATGTAATCTCCTCCAAAGCAACTTCACAAATACATCTTTACCTGAGGCCCTAAATCAGTGTCCCTAAAAAAAATCCAAAGAGCTTATACTTATAAATGTCTGTCACCTTTTGAAGACTTTTCCATTCCCATTAAAAATCAAAATACTCCCAAGTGCAAAGCGCAGAACACTGAGAGAAAGACCATAGTCGCAAGAGGTAACAGAGAAAAACAGAAAAGAGAACTAAGTGTTCAGGAAAAGAAAAGGACAAGCATCCTACAGAGCTGCTGAACATTTCTACCTGCGCAAGATGGGACAGTAAATACACATTAACAAGTGTACTGAAATAATTACAAAATGCATTTGCCATCACAGATATAGAAACATGCACTTTTGTAATGAATGTATCAATGTCAACTATAACTTTACTTTTCTGATCCAGCAGCCATCTGAGTTCGAGCCCTTTGGCCTGATGCTGTCCCCGTAGAATTATGCAAATTTAAAAGGCCAAATTATGCACAAAAAAAGCAAAATTATGCAAAAATTATGCAAGTTACCGTAACACCATTCGCGACATGTTTTGCACTTTTTCAACTCGAAGTTTCACGATTTTCATGTTTTATGTGCAGAAAAATTGGAAACAGAACCTATCAGTATTAGTAATTTGTCATGTTGTGTATTTGGAAAAGAAAGCAATACACATCAGTAAAAAAAAACCCAAAAAAACAACCAAAAATAATAATCTCTGTAACTTTCAGCTGTAGATCTAGATCTATAGAGGAAAATAAAATGTTTTTTAAAAAAGGACATCTGGACCTCTGATGCTGGCACATTACTAAAACCAAGGACACCTGTCTGACACGAAACATCAGCAGACATGCATGAGAACAACAACTTTTGATGGATTGAAAAATTGAGCATGCTCAAGGAACAAAATCACAACCCATAACCAAGATCTTATAACAAGGGAAATAACCAGCTTTTCACTTAAATGAGAGTTATAACGGTGATTACGTCCCTTTAGTCACATAGCGCGGCGTTAATTAATTGTTTTGTGACAAAAAAGGAAAAAAACGTGAAAAAACGCGGATAATCCAAAATTATGCAAATGATGCAGAATTACGCGAAAATACGCGGGCGCGCCGCGGCCACACAATCGCATAATCCTATGGGGACAGGCCTGATGTCAACTTTAAAGTTTCCTTATATTGTCATCAACATAAATGTGAGCATGGTCAAGTATGCATTTTCCTTCATCGGTAATGCCAGAAATATGATGTGCACAAACATTTTGGGGTTTGACACTTACAAATTTCCCATCATGTATATCTGATCTAGGGCACTCTTGATCCTTTCTGCAATAATAAACAAGGGGAAAAGGGTTTCAAAATAATATCAAAATGAAATCATTTTTTAAGTATCTCTGTTAATCTATCCAGACCTATCTGAAATGAAAAGTATGAGCATTTACACTTTTTTAACAAATAGATGTTAAAATTACGGTTCAGAAAAAAGTAACTTTAAAAATGTTAAGCTTCCATTATATCTCAATGACAACCTTTTACTATGTCATTGCTTTATTTACTTCCCTTTATTGTGCTTATTCAATACTTTCAAGGAGTCTCAGAAAATGAAATGGACTCATTACTATTTCAATAATCAGAACAATTCTGCTACTTGAGTGAAGAATTTGCATCTTAGATATCATTGCCAGAAGTCATGAATTGCAAGAGATATTGCTTTGGCAGCTTTAAACAATTTTGTCTAACCCCAAAAGCAAACAGGTGTCAATCATGGAAAGTATCTAACAGTTTTATTCAAAACCCCTGTCAACAGGACCAGTGAGTCGAGCATATCATCACCTTGTTGACACACAGCTTAAAGAGACCCCATAAAACAACTAAATAATCCATATAACATTTTTCTTTAGGCCTACACATACTTTAGTAAGACATATGGCAAGACAGGTTCATATCCACTGATTCCCATTTAAATACCTATAGTGTCACTCAACAATAACATACCATTCAACTGGAGCTGGGGAAGATAAATCAGGGTACAGTTGAGTATTTCCTTGCTCTACACACAAGGCATTTCAGTCTCATTGAAATGTATCTTTCTTTGTATACTTAAAATATGCAATTCATAGTTTCTTTCATTACAACCTTTTGATTGGTTCCCTTGTATTGACTAATAAGACAAGCTGATGAACAAACAACCTGTCCATAAGATTCACTGGATACTGATAAAATGTCTTTACGCAAAAATGTTTTATTACAATAAAGAAAGATTGGAAAACCTAGAAAAATGTCTAAATAACTGAGGTCCAGAGAGGTCACAAACTCAGGTAGCCTACACCATAGTCCAATGTCTAACAAAATGAATGAAAGAAATACCCTTAAACGCTTTCAAGGCATTTGTGTCATTTTTACAAGAGACTGAGAACAACTGCATCACTGTACTGTATTATTGCTCCAGAGTTTCTGTTGTGGAGACATTGCAGTTTGAGGAGAATCTGCACAATATCTGCCACATTCGCCAAGAACTGACTAGGACAATCTAGAAACACTGAAAAAGTAATAAAAGAGGCAGACCACGACAGAACACTCATTGTCCACTCGTGTCAGTCTTCCATGTAAAATCTGAAAGAAAGTGGTCCTGAAATTGTCCACTCTGATATAACAAAAGGCAGATCATCTAGAGCTTCAGCTGCAGAGGCACCACTACTTTGCTTTCCATACATTACCAGGCTATATGATTTTTATTACTGTAGCTGATAGTTTTCTGCAAGTTCCTTGCCAGCATTGAAAGTTTCAATAAACCAACATCAATTTTTTTTAAAACAAAACCAAGCACTAGTGTGTTCATTAGCAATTGCACTGAGAAACCAGTTGGAACAATACTTAACTATTTTGCAGACAACCAGGGTCTGAATCGAACTCTCAACATAGGGAGTTTCACAGGCTCTTAATTTCATCCTAACACTAGTCTTTTCCCTTCCATTGAAATTTAATTCTTTGAAGTAACAAGCACAAAAGTGTCAGTGGCTGATCACATTGTTAACTCAACAGGTAAAACACTTTTGAAAGCCCTCCATCCTGCCCTATTGTGACTTAATATTAATTGTAACCCTACCTGTAGTAAAGCCTGAATCATGCCTAGCAACCTCAGTTTAACCTAAATCATTTTCAACATGAGCATAAGACAGAAACCCAGACAAAATGCGTTTTCCTACAACGGGACACAATAAACATCACCCACCAGCTCCATCGTGGTAAAGCTGAGAGTGTTTTTGAACTTGTTCACTTTAATGAAAACAGACGGCAGATTGTCCTGGGATACAGCAGCAGCACCACCACCACCCCCTCTCTTCCCTCGTGTCTCTATGGACATCTGGATGTAGAACCCGCGCAGACTGCTGTATGCCGTTCGCAGTGGCAGCTGGTAGTTTTCTGCACATTGCTGGACCAGACCTGAGTGTCATAGAAAGTCTGAGACATTTTCTTTCATAATTATTTCTATCAATATTTTCCTAAATCATGTCTCCCTGTTGTCATCACCATTGTGGAGACAACTTGGTAACTTTTCAAAACTTTAACTGACAGTGCTTTCAAATGAACATTGTCTTCAGCAGTGTTATTTATTCTTACTCCACTGGACAAAACCGAAATTTATAAGAAGCAGGAAAATACAAAGATCTAAACTTCATTTATTTGTTTGTTTGAGAACAGAGAAGCACATTGGCACAATAACGATCATTTAGTGCTAGCAAAAAGCAAGACAAACAGAAGTACAGTAAAGAGGGAAAGTAATGAAGAAAGACCTATCAGTCGCAACTGATAACCACCTCAAAGCCCACTTAGATATACAGGTTCTTTGCTGAGACACAAGTTCACAAATTAGTCTCTACTGTTGACCAACTGAGAGAGAAGTCATTGCACTGGAGCAAATTACAATCTTGATGCAAGAGAAATATGCAGTGGTACTTACTCTCTGAACATGCCTCACATCTTATTGATAAGTACTACATTTTGCTTTCAGATGTTTTTTACAAGAAAGGATAAAGTCATGTCTTATAAATCAAATTCTGAACTCTCCCAAAATATCTATGCCTTACATTGGACACCACGGTGAACTTCTGTTTGCTCTCTGTGTAAGTTTCATACTTCATTAGAGCTCTCAAAGCAAAAAAAAATCTACATTTACGGAATACAAAGCTTTATGAAAAACCGGAACACCAACTTCTCTTCAGATACAAGAGGAAACATACTGTTGAGATTCTTTTCCAATTAAAAAAAACTGATCAATATAAACTTAGCAACTCATTAATGAGACTCTTATCTTTCTATTTTACTTAACACTCACTTACTCTCTAGATCATCCACCAGCTCTGTGTAGGTGCGTCTTGCCACGTCAAGCAAACCTTAAAAACCAAGTATCAAAATGCTAGTAAGTAAGGAATCTATTATGTACATTCACAAAAGGGAAACAAATATCGCAGTGTGCCCCCCCCCCCCCCCCCCCCCCCATTCTTTCCCAAACAACAGTCCCCCAAAAACTTTTGACGAGACAGGATCCAGCAAATACCCAAATTCTTGACTCTTAGTCTTAGTTACAAATTTTAATACAGAACAGTTGATGAACTGTTCACTGGTAATAACAAGCACTTCATGGACTGCTTTGTCACTGCAAATGGTGGGGTGGGGGATTTTGAGGATTCAATAATTTTATGTTTTAAGTGACAAAACTAGCTCACAACACTTGCATCATGAGAAGGTCGGTCACATATGACAAGCTGGTCTGATCATAGTCCCTTAGTCCCATTCTTGACGGAAAACTGCATCCAATAATCATAGACAAATTTGATTAAAGAATTACAAATGCCACACATTGTTTATTTTACTCCCCCAAGGAAAGGGCATACCTCATTATGATTAAAAACACAAACTGATGCAAGACATACAAGACAAACAAATAAGAAGTAAAAATACAACCAAATTAACTGAATTTAAAATAACTGGTAGAAGAGCACCCAAACAATTGAGGCAAAAATATTACTACAAAGATTTACAAACCACCATGACTGCTACAACAAAATAGAATGTTATAGGCCTACTCTCTGAGGCAACTGCAAACTAAAATGTGTAAAAATTGTCTAAAAATGATATCGCCAATGATGAAGTGAAAAACAGAAACAGTCAAGTCAGTGGGCCACATGAAGACATCCTGACAGCAGTGAAGCAACACAAACTGAAGTGGCATGAAACATAACACAACCACACAGGTTTTTGTTTGAGTAAACAGAAATACATTGGCACAACAACAGTCATCTACTGCAGGGAAAAAGCAAGACAGGCAGAAACAAAGCAGGACCTACCAGTTGCGCCCTCCAACCATCCAAGAAGCTCTAGGGCTTTCTAAGACAATCCTCCAGTGCTCTACACAAGGAGGGAGAAGAAGATGCTGACAGAAGAAAATATGGGAGGACAAAAACCCAAAATGGACATGACTGTAGCTGGACGATGTACTAAGAGGGGCAGAAAACAGGGATGGGTGGAGGGAGCTAGTTCACAAACTGATGACTATGGTATAGGGACAAAATAAATTCGAAGACATACATGATTTCAACGGCAGACTCCCAGTGGGACTTCAACGGCCTATTTCTGCAAGACCAGACCATTAAGTCAACAGAGCAACTAAAAAGTAATGTGGAAAGAAGACTCATAAGTACAGATAATCAAAGATAATCCAGAGATCTTAAATGCTTGGAGTGTACCAGAGGCATCCCATGAGACAGTAAAATAATAATATCCCTCTCCCCCATGCATATTGAGGGTATCTCTGTATTTGCTTGCAAAATATTTTATGGTGAGACTAAAGATCGATTCATTTTGCAGTTCTAGGAATTGCAACTACCTAAACTGCCTAAAATTAATTGAACTTCATCCCACAATATTATGAACCTTTAAATAATGTGAACAACAAATCCTCAGACTCCCAGCATTTGTTATTTTTATCCACGATACTTTAATTTGTGCTGAAATTGTAACTTTAAAGAAATCATTATCAAGCATTACAGTACTATTGAATTTTAATATTTTGGAGAGTACTTAAGTCACGGAATGGACCAAAAAGTTGCATACTTGAGTTGAATTTGATTGAGCATTCTTGTATTTGACTGTGATTCAGACTACAGCTGAAGAGAACCTAATCAAAGCTGACGTCGCTATAAAACACATCAAAACAGCAATTCTCCAACAAAGAAATCAGTATTGGAACATGACTCCAAATTTTCAGCATGAAAATGCTCTTGCTCATGTGAAAAGTTAAGAGCACACTGCTTGATCCCTTTGAATAAACTTATTGAGCACATAAACAGCCAAGGCACAATAAAGCACATCATTTTAGCTTCATTTCCTCGGAAACTCTTGTGGCTATTTTGGGCTCCAAAAGAATTTTAATGAATAATAATAACAATAAACAGTTTATATTGCCCTGATTCCCACTAAATAGCAAGCTCTATGTGCAATATAAAACAGCTTTTGCATTAGCTGTGGGGCACGTTAAGAATACCCAAAACCAACATCAAGAAGTTCATAAGTTCTCTCAGAAAAATCAACAAAATAATCAGATCAAACAAACTTGAAGAATCTGCATGCAAATTCCATACTACTCACCATTTATTTTTGTCTTTGGACAAACAGAGATCGCATTATCATGAGAAAATTACCATCATGTCTATTTACAAATGAAAAGAAAACCATGCTTCAAATTACAATGTGATGACGGAGAAAGAGACTGAGAGATCAAAGTACTTCATCATAAAAAGAAATAATATGTCATGGTGGAACATAAACAACACAAGAGTGGTCTGAAACTCCATTTCTGAAATGACTGAATTAAGAAAATACAATAGAACACCTAAAACACTTCAAATTCGTTTTTAGAGAACACACAAAGCCATTGACACCCAAAAAAAAAATCCTTTTTCCCCTAAACGATATTTGGCATAGATACACTCAACAACAAAACTATACAAGCATTAAGACACGTAAATTGTTGTCACCATGTTATCTATTTGATAACATGTATTTGTTCTATTGTCCAATTGATTTCATGTTGGGCTTATAGATTCGTCAGGTCAGTTCTGGCTCTGAACCTCTTTAAGCCAAGCTAATTTCTCTTTATTTTTTTTCACTTTTCAGTTACAGACCAGTAGAGCATGATTTTTTTGTTTTAGTAAGTGTTTTATGGCACTTGCAACCGAGCATGACTTTCACACACTATTGATTAACTTTAACTAAACACAAACAACAACGTCTCAGAACAAAAAAAGCAATTTAGCAATGACTACGAAAAAAAAATTTTTTAACAGAAAGTGTTTGCAAATAGGTGCATTTTGTAGCTTTATCTCCACAGAGCATGGAACTTTTTGAATTTTTGAAATCCATCAATAAACAAAAACGTTACGAATTTTTTAATCAATTAATTTTTGGTACACTTTTATATAATGAAAAAAAAATGGGACGTTCTTTGATGAGTTTTGAGACAATATTTGTCATAACTCGCTCATTTCTAGGAGTATTTAAATGAAACTTGGCAACCCAGTACATTTTCTAGTGCAGAATCTAGTCCTGCTTTCAGAATTTTCATGGCTATCCTACTTTTTGAGTTATGAAGACGTTTATAAGGTAAAAATGTGGCGGTTTTCGGTGCGTTTTGAGACAATATTTGTCATAGTTCGCCTTTTTTTTGGAGTATGTAAATGAAACTTGAAGGTCTAGTACAGTTTTTAATGCAGAAACTAGTCATGCTGTCAAATTTTTAATATCTATCATACTTTTTGAGGTGTAAAGACATTAACAGGTACAAAAGTGGCGTTCTTTACAGATTTACAAAGATTATCAGTCATATCTTCTCCCAAAGTCAGGATATTTGAATGGAACTTGGCAACATAAGAGGTTCCTCCTTGCTAAGCAATGCTCTGGATCAATTTGTCATAAAAATGTAAGTAGAGAACTGGATTTATTAGTCTAATAAATCCAGTTCTCTACCAGTAAAAGCATGCATACTTTGTTATAGAAAATAAGATCGTCTCTGTGTATATCCAGTGTTGGTCAGTGTCCTATTGTGTGGTAGATTAAGATGCGCTTAGATAATATAGTTTACAAATCATGGGAATATTTCGCATGTGTAGGCTACAACTCATACTATAAATGTAACATATTTACACCCCCCCCCCCCCCCTTCTCTCTCTCTCTCTCTCACTCTTTCACGCGCAAACACACATGCACGCACGCACTCACGCGTGAACGTTATCAATGTAAAAACGGGACTATCTTCCCAGACTGGACTAAATAAGTACCGTACTCTTTAATAACAATCATAATGCCTCACTTTTCCAAACAGAGCACACAGGACGAGTCCAAGTGTGTGCTTTCCCCAGAGGGGGGAATAGGCTTTAATAACGCAAACACAATGCCATACCACTTCTCAAGATATTTGCTTTTCTGTTTCTATTCTTCTGTCATGCAATCAAGCAAATAAAAATGACTACATCTATTGTATTGTGACTAAAATGCAACAAAAATGCAAGTTATCAAGGCCCCCGTTTAGTTTTCAAGTATCTTTCCCCCCCCTTCCGGTTCACATAAGCGGGACCTCGTTTGTAGCGCCCGAGGCGACCGATGGCTGATGACGTCACTCAGTGGAAATTTCCCAGCTGACGGTCATTCACCCAGTAGGCGCAAACGGCAATGTCGATTTTTCCCTTAGTTACTCCCACATTTTTAAAGATTACGCCAAAACCGCTAAACACAGAAACATGAAATATTAAGGGAATGAAGAAAAATGGTGTACAACGTATCAGTCAGTTTGACAACTTACAGCTCCGAAAAATCTTCAAAGCGCACCACATCAACCACTTTTGCAAACTTTTTCGACTACTTCTTGGATGGGTACAATGTTGTCAAACTGCATACTACGAGATTGACCTCTTTTCTGATTGGTTTCATTCATATCCATTCACGAGAAGCGGCGTGAGAGCAAGTTGAAGACAACAACCTTTGCGTTAGTGCGTCCCACAAAACACCCCCGCGGCGGGGGCCAAAAATCGGCAGAACAAAACGCGCTCCATGGGCATTGCTAAGCAATTGCACAAGAAAAGTACATAGACATTCATAACTCTAATCAGTAACAATTTCAATTTCCATATTCCTTCTCCCAGTAAAAGTAAACCTACTTTGATGGCTGCACATCTCTGATAGTGTTGCTGTAAGGCTCCCTTCTCCAGGTGGGTTGCATCATTGATCACTTCCCCAATTTTCTCCAAGATAGTCTTGAATCGTACATCATCAAGGGCCTGGAAAATAAAAGGTGTTTATCAAACATCTAAAAGGCAACTATCTATTTTGCCATTACAAGACATAAGGTAGCGTAGCCTACAAAAAAACAAGACAAATTTTTTTAACACTTATTGGAATGGGGGCCTTTCAAGTTTAATGGGCCCACAGAGACCTGAAGGAACCTTCAAAAGTTGAACATAATATACAAGTAGACTGATAAATATTGCCAACATCCCTACTGGAACATTATTAGCCTAGACCGTTTCACGATAGCTTGCTGGCACAGTTCACTTTCACATGAGAACAAAATGACACGTGGCATGTGCAACCTGAGGATTTCTGACTCCGTGTGAGCACAAGAAGAACATGACATATTTATAAGCAGTAGGAGCATGTAAAGTCAAATAGTGATATACATACATGATACACACTGCAGAGGTTTTCCACAATATATTGAGACTTTCTGTCAATCTTACAGCAAATCATAAAACAGATTACAGCATTCTTCTTTTTTTAAGAAACTTGGCTAGGTATAGTAGCAAAAAAAGGGACAATGAACTCATTGCTTTGATTTTACAGACTTCTCCTTCAGCTTGAGCTCTGGGGTACCACCCTTCGGCTGTTTAAGTTATAGGGCAGCTGATTTTCTGCCAGTGATAATTTTCTCCAATCAGACTGTAGGGTACCATGCCTTTCAGGTAGCCATATTTATAAGAGTCCAAGGGTACCCTTATCTAAACTGACTTCATATGGAGGGCAGGCTGCTTCACCAATGCTGAGTACATTCCAGCAGAAAGACAACAAAACACAAAATATCTTCCCCTGGTGGAAGGTGTACCCATACCTTTTGTTTGTAAGGTAAAAAACTTAACCATGATACCATACGATGGTGAGTGAGTGAGTCAACAAGGTGAAGAAGTATGGCTTCATTATGAATACACTATTGATGCTGCAACAGGCTGGACCACATGACGAAACACTAAATACTTGTATTAGGAGCCTCAAAAATAGTATAAAAAATATGCACCCAACATTTTTGGTGTAAACCTTCTCCAAGAGATACAGACTGAATAACTGCTACTACATAAATTACAATAGGTGAGTGCTGGTTTTTTTTAAAGAGTTTTATGGCACTTGCAGGACAGTTAAGTCATATAAGCAAAGCTGTTAAAGTACTTTTTAAAAAGTACTTAAGTACAAATTTAAGTACAATCTAAAAAATTTACTTAAATAAAGTAAAAGAACTTTCCTGTAAAATGTACTTGAGTACAAGTACTTTTTTTTAAAGTACTCATGAGTACATTTTGAGAACTTTCTGCTAATATGCTAAAACACTTCTATGCCAATGCAAAACGTCATATATCGAATAACATCCAGTATATTTGTCAAATTAGACCATTTATTATGATTATTATTATAATACGGGTGCGAAGCACGGACAATCAATAAACAGCTGGAAAGAACAATTGTGGTGACACAGTATAGTTCATAAGACGCATGCTACGTATCCCATGGACAACTAGAAAAACAAATGAAGAAGTCTTGGTTGAAGCAAATTGCAGAAGACAGCTCATGACGAATATACAAAAGTGACAGGCAAATTTCTTCGGACACACAATGCGGAAAGAAGAATTGGAGAATATTGTAACAACAGGCAAGTTTGATGGAAAGAGAGGCAGAGGCAGACAGAGGGAAAAGATACTGGACAAGATGACAACATGGCTAGGAGCAGCAAGAACAACAGACACCATTGCTGCAATGCAAGACAGAGTGAAGTGAAGGTCCATGATCACCCACGCCAGTCGGCAAGGCACCGGATGATGATAATGATTATTAAAAATGTAACAAAGCATTTGAATATATATATACACAGAACATAATATATATGTGGAAATGGTCCACGAAATTGAAAAAGCAAACAAACAAGAGAACTTCACCCTGAACAGATATTTTGAGAATGTTGAAAAATAATCACTGCTTGAAAAATTGCAAGCAAAAAAAAAAAAAAAAACAACCAATAGGCCTGTATTAAACTGCAATTGATAGCATGATCTAAAATGGAAACAGAAAAGTTGGAAACAGAAAGTACAGAAATCCTCATCAGAATCACTCACTTTTATGTAACCCCCCCCCCCCCCCCAACCCCAATAGAAACAACTATTCAATTACACAAATTTTGAAAGTACCCCTGATTCAGTTGAAAACCTTACAATCTAACTAACAAAAGCTCTTATTGTACTTCACCAAGAGGAGATTCTCAAAATTCCTGTCACTGAATGAAGATCTCTTGAGCACAAAAATGAGCCCCCCCAACGAGAACAGCCTCTCTATTGGTGCTGACGATGGGAGGATGCTGTTTCACTGGCGGAAAAGGGCCTTCACGTCCGGAAAAGCTTCCAGGCAGCCGAGGGAGGTGTCTTTAGCTGCCAGGTATTCGGGTTCCTCGGCTCCACCGAAGACGGAAAAGAGGCCATCGTCAACCACCTCCTCCTCACGACCTGACTCCTTTTCAAATTTGGAGAGTTCGTCTATGAACAGCTGCTTGGCTCTCTCCTTTGCTGTCATTTTGAAGAAATGAGAGCTTGAATCTATAGTAAGAAAGAGAGAAATGAAAAACATACACCCTTTTTTCATTAGAAATCATAATTGAAAAATGATCAATACGCATTACAACCATGCACAAAGACATTAAATAATTACAAGACATTGAGAATACATGTACATAATCAACGCACTATATGGTGGCTGTAACTTTTGAAGACTAAATGTTCATTTCTATTAATTTTTTGTTAACCCTTGCCCATTTATATTATGCACACACTGTAAATGTTACAGATAGAAATTCAAGGATTATAGATGTAAGTCAAGGGTCTGAGAGCAAAGGTGATTTTAGAAATAATGGTGGTGATAAATGAGTGATGCTGTGGGCCCTTAAACTCCCAAATCAAGTACCCTGTGTCTGAATCCCCACGTTCTCATCCAAGATTGGTATAATTTCAATGCTGACGTTTGGACGCAATTCTTACATTTAAGAAATCAATATTGTGCAGATGCTGGATAGATGTGCTTTTGATGGATAAAAATGACTAGAGTGAAAGAGAGAGGGAGAGAGAGAAAGAGAGAGGTGTTCATTTCTAGCTAACCAGCCCACCTACCTCTTAATGTGAAAATTTTTAATTTGCATTACTTTTTGGCAAACTCTCATAAATAATTAACTTACTTGGGATGCACAACTGCAGCCAAGATACAGGTCTTGTCGTCGAACATAGGCCCGAACTGTTTATCCAGTCCTGCCAGGAGTTCAAGACAAAAAGTCCTGCAGCGTCCTGCACTATCCAGAAGGGATGTCATCTTTAACTTCAATGCCACCAGGGTGGGCAGAAGATGCTCCAGGGTGGTCTCCTTCTCTCCCTGAAGCAGGTCCAGCGCAAAAGAAAAAGGCTTCATCACCTTGGAAAAGTCAAAGGAGATAACAAAAATTAGTAAAGAAAATCTATAATAAATGAGTTTAAAAAAGAAGTAGGAATTTTGATCATTTCCAAAATCTTACTGACTTACTATTTCCTAGCACAAACACTAACCCAAACACATAGAAAATCACCAAAAGAGACAAGATTACAAAATTACAAATAGTAGACAAAGAAAATAAAAATAGTTTTAACAACCAATGAAATCTTGAGTTGTGATGAAATGCAATGAATTTAAAGCCACAGAACTTTTCCCAGAAAAAAACAACAACAAGCAAACAAAAAACACACATAAGACATTAAAAGTTTCCTTTAGCTTACAGAAATCTTTGACGTAGGTCAATTCCTTTTCACTAAAGTGGGTTCCCCCAAGTCTGTCCATCAGAACATTTAGGGATGCCTTCACCTTTCGTAAGCAGTCCATTGCATCAAACGAGTAGTTCCATCTTGTGGCATTTGGAACAACCAAATACCTTCCCAGAACTGAATAGATTGTCTCTAGGAAAAAGTGAGAACAAAAGGAAATGAGTGGCAGTTGGCAGCGGATAGTAAAAAAAAAAGGTCCTGCTGATAAAAAAATGTTTTCAAGACACATGGCACAAAAAAAAGCCCACATTGGAAAAGCCCAGGCTGCTTTCATTCTTTGAATAGGATTTGGAAAACCAGGGATATCCCATTTCGAACAAAGCTAAGGATTTTCAATTCGAATGTGAAGTTAGTCCTACTGTAGGGATGTGAGACATGGAATGCATCTTAGATTTGCATAAAGAGGATCCAGGTTTTCTTGAATAAGTGTCTAAGAAAATTACTGAGGATCAGATGGACAGACAGGGTCACCAAGGAGGAAGTGCTAAGGAAAACAAGACTGATCCCAGTCATAGATGAGGTAGGAAGAAGGCGGTGGCAATGGATTGGACATACTTTCAGGAAGTCAGGCAGCTGCATAACAAAGAAAGTGTTGGATTGGAATCCAAAGGGTAAAAGATCAAGGGGAAGACTGTGAAACCAGGAGAAGAATCACAGAAATTGATGTACAGAAAGTGGGAAGACATGGAACACTAATACCACCAAGAGGCTAGTCCAGGATAGAGAAATATGATGAGGAACTTACCTGCAGCAAGAGGACTTCTGCTCTGCTTGTTCCACAGCAGCTTCGCCTTTACCCAGCAATTTTTGGCCACATCACTGTCCATCTTCATGGCCTCTTTGGCTACAAGATTCAAGGTGTGCGCTGCACAGCGTTGCTGAGGGGACAGTGCAATATACAGGGTCTCTGTTGAACCCTCTTTTAAATCAGAGATAGAGACAGGCTCCACGCTGATGCTCTCCTCACCATCCTCCTCCTCTTCTTCCTGAGCAAATATACTGGGACAAACAAACAAACAAAATATTTGCTAATCATCCAATATTAAGACAAAATAAAGGACAGGATTTATCATAAAACTGGCAGATTTTTATGTTTTTAAGAATCAGCATGTCAGATCATTTTACCCTTAGTGATTCCCCTACATCAACAGTCAAACTGACACATTAATTCAAATTAAGGTTAATACTTCTTTTTGAAAACAAAAACCCCCACCCAAAACAAATTTGTTGACCGGACTTCTCAAATGGGTAACAGTAACCCACTAACCTCTAAGTTGCCGGGGTTTTTTTTCAAATGTACATATATATGAAAATTATTGCTATACAAAATGCCGGCAATAAAACCAACTACTGATTGCAGGCGCCGTTCATCCATAAAGCACGGTCGTGCAGTGCCGCCCAAAATTGTTTACTGTTCTATTACGAAAAGCACCCACAAACACAAAATAAGCGACTAGAGAATTTAGAAATGGTACGTATAATCTATTACGACTCAAGTCTGATTAAACAAAAATTATATTCGGACCCAGAATAGAGTCCAACACTACGTCATTTCCGACATAACTAAGGGGCCGATTAGGCGCGACAGTTACACAGTCCTAGAAACTAGATGTTCTAATTTTAGTTTTACTTAAAATTCCCAGAGGACAGTTTATATTAATATTGTAACCTTCTTACTCTCACATATAACTCACTTGCCGAGTCCGAATAGATAAAACCCATTTTCTGACTCAAGTCCGAATTTAAAACAATCTCATCAGACTCGAGACCGAATAAAAAAAATCTGATAGGACTCCGAGACTGAACAGACTGGCCTAAAATTTATTTTAGAGATGTGACAGAGTTGACAGAGAGATAGATTCTAGTTTACTTTTGTTTGCTTACCTCCAAACACTTGACAATCGAGGCTCTACATGGGATGGCAGCTCCAGGCACCAAAGCTTGAATCAGCCGTTTGAAACTCTCCTTCTCCACGGTTGAGATGGGCAGGACGTCCGTCACGATGTAGTCCGTCACAGCCTGAGTCACGGAGGGATCCGCCTTTACCCGCCTGACAGCAAAACTCATCATTGTAATTTGATCCTCTGGCAAGGCTCTTTTCTTGCTGGGGGTCGATTCGATGTTGATGGTCTTGTGAACTCTCTTGTAGTGCTTCACCAGGTTTGATGACGAATTATTGCTGGCACTCTGGTCCTTCTTACATATCGTGCACTTCAAAACTACCTTGAAGCCTGCATAGGTAGAAGCATCCTTTGCTTCATGCCGAACAAACGTAAAATGTCCAGCATCCACTTACCTGGAGAGACACGTGCTCAACACAAAATCCATAACGTAGCCTAACAACTGAAGATCGAAGAGCAATGACTGAACTAGATCTCTGAACGGTGGAGTGAATAAGTGAAGAATGCAGTGGACAACACGACTCACGAGGGTGAAGAAAGAAAACGTGACAACACTAGGCCAGATTTTGGACACACAATGTGGTCCACGGCACCCGAGGCAAACTATATATAATTTCATAGAGTCTAGTAAGTAAGTGTAGTAAGTAAGCCAACGGCAACATATATTCCAAAAGACCAAAGTGGCATCCAATTCGCTTCAGCACCATAAAAACAAGGGATGTTACTCTGTTACTCTGCTGAACTCTGCCAAAAATACGAAATCGAAAATTGATGCGCAACAAAACTCTTTCCGTTTGCCGGGCCTGCGGCGGCACTTACCCTTTCACTGAGCCTCAAAAGTACTTAAAATATACTTTAAACTTTTATAAAAAGTATCGGAGTACAGTAAAGTACTGATTCTCAAAAATGTAACGGAGTACAGTAAAAGTACCAAAAATTGTAATGTAAGTACAAGTACCGGACTCCGTTACTACCAGCTCTGCATATAAGTACCGAAAAATGCACCTTATAGTACATTTTGAGCATCTTGTTCTCGCAGTAGGACAAATGTTCCTTAAGGGGCTCCACCAGTTGGAGTACATGCTTCAGGGCAATGACACAGTTGAGTTTGCTCTCTGCTGATCGAAGAGTCTCCTGCTTAGGAATCTGCACACACACACTGATGATATGACCTGAAAATTTAACATTTAAAAAAAAGACAGAATAGCAGTGAGGAAAAAGAAAGAAAGATTGAATATCTGTATAAAACAAATACGAACAAAAACTTTCAAACAATTGAAACAAAGTCCAATAGCCAAATGAAATTTTTTTTTTTTTAAATACAATTACCTATCCCAAATAGGTTTCTTTGTCCCGTAAGATTGTACGAAATCATGTTACCAAAGCGATACAATAGTTCTTGAATATTTTGAGATTGCCACTTACTGAACCAGTACCATTTTGATTTACAGGACAAACCATCTACTGCTAAGCTGAATCATTACATTATCAACATGCTAATTGATTCTTATTACACAGTTCCGCATTATCTATATGTGCAACGACAAACATTCAATATGAACAAGATTCCTGTTACTATGCTGATAAGATTTAATTTGTCAAGTCTGACAGATTCACACTTTCCTAAGGCTGGTATTAATACATTTAGCGTCAATAAAAACCAGACACATTTTAATTGCGTGTTTCATGAAAAGTTGAAAACTCATGGAGCTGAAATTTTCCACACGTGATTGTGAACACTTGACGCTCTTGATCAGCCTGCATTTATGATCAGGTGCCCAGTTAATAAAGCTTAGGTCTTGTTTTGTTAAAAACCGTGTTTTGTAATTTTTCTCAAACGTTTTTTTATTTTATGGGTTCAACACATCTTTTATCTGTAGCCAAGAATAAAACGTTAAAAGTTTCAATTCAAAACATCTAAATCTAAAGATACAGCATGCCGCGTTTAACAAACGAAGAGCGCAATCAGACAGTTGGTATGCTGAGGGCCAATACGCCAGTAGCGAATGTTGCAAGGACCTTCAATGTGACAAGAGACACGATATATCGACTAATGAATCATTTGCAGACGTCTGGATCCGTGCAGGATGGTCCCCAGACGGGTCATCCTAGAGCTACAACACCAGCCCATGACCAGTACATTCGGGTCTTGCACCTACGAGATCGCTTCCGGCCTGCTACCAAGACAGCCAGGGAGTGGCCGGGACAGAGAACCATAAGTGCCCCGACTGTGCGCCGACGCCTCAGAGCTCAAGGACTCATTCCTAGACTAGACGCCCTGCTCGACGCATCCGCCTGCTCCCGAGGCACCGCCGAGTCAGACTCAACTGGGCCCGCCAGCACCGACGATGGATTTTGAGACAGTGGGATAATGTGATGCTCACAGATGAGTGTCGTTTCCAACTGCAAAGCAATGATGGAAGGCAGCGTGTCTACAGAAGGATTAATGAACGTTTCTTTAACAGTTGTGCGAGTTCAGTTGGAGATAGGCGTGGTGTCATGGCCTGGGGAGGGATAACCAGCACTGGCCGCACAAACCTCGTTTTCATCAACGGGAACCTCACCACCAGACGCTACATTGATGAGATCATTCGCCCGCACGTCCTCCCGTTCTTGGCTCGCAATGGAAACACCATAATATTCCAACAGGACAATGCTCCAGCTCACCGGGCCCACCTAACCACAAACGTTTTGAAAATCAACAATGTGAATGTTCTCAATCCATGGCCGGCTTTGAGTCCCGATCAGAACCCCATCGAACATCTTTGGGATATGATGAAAAGGCAGCTCAGAGCCCTTAGACCTCAGCCGGTCACCTTGGATCAGCTACGTACAGCACTTACAAACATATGGAACAACATTCCACAGCATCCCATACAAAGACTTGTGGGAAGCATGCGGCAGAGGTGCACAGAAGTCGCCAATGCCCACGGCGGCTATACGCAGTATTAACTGTGACTTTTCATTTTAGGGCATACAATTAAAAGATCAAATTTCAAGTAATAAAGTTCATTTTTTTAAATTGTTTTTTGTGTAATTGATTTGTAAAATGTTCAAACTTTCCTTATATAGAGAGATTGTTTCTGGTTAAAATCAGTCTTTCAATACAAAAAACACTAAAAAAGGGGTGTCTGGTTTCTTTTGACGCCAAGTATTGTTACAAGATAATATTATGCTGAAAGCTGCAGCAATTGAAAAATATAGAGGCACATGCATTTCAGTCTTGACAATAAAAAGTAATCAGGTCAGTTGTTCTTCCTTTACTTTGGCAGTTTAAAAAGCTAATTTGAAAATCAAATGTTTTCAATCACTTTGTGAATCTATAACAGTTGATATTAAGACAATATTCATGCCTATCATATCAATGAACTGATGAATAAGCACAATGTTAAAGCCAAAAACGTGATAAATAACAGCAGATTCTTAGGAACTAAAAAAAGTGTGAAGACACATTAATGGCTTAAATTGATCAAAGTTACACTTACCCAAAGCGACTGAGTTCGGACTGAGACACTTTTTTGTTTGTGTAAAACAGATTAGATTTTTAAATCTGTAGCTTACCAATGTCAACAAATTTACTAAGGACTGACTGCAGACCAAAGAAAATATCTTCCTTTTCAGTCAGTTCTGCAATGGCACCATGTCGAAGCACAATGGTTTCTTCATCTGAAAAGAAAGATAACAAAGAGGGAACTTAAATAAAGCAACATCAATCACAATAACTGTGCTTCTTGCAAAATAAAACTGAGTACACAATGTAACAAAAGAGAGTAAATGACCTTTCAACTTTCTGTTTAAATTGATAACAGACTAAGTGTGAAAAGTACAATGCTTTTAGTTAAATATCATTTGGTGAAATGGTGAAATGGTATAGGTTCAACGCCCCTATCAACACTATTAGGTTATTTAAGAGGCGGGGCCTCCGAGTTTAACGTCCATCTCCGAAAGGACGGAGCCAAATGGGAAATTCGTGTAAAGTGCCTTTCCCAAGGACACAACGTTGGACTGAGCTGAGGCTCGAACCCCTGAATCCGCAATCTCACGATTACGAGTCCGGTAGCCTAACCACTAGGCTACCGACGCCACCAAATACCATGTGAATAGCTGCATCTTTACATGTTCCTCAAAAAAAGACACAGCAGTTTGAAATCGTAAATTCGTAGCACGTTTTATCTTGTATAAACCATTATGCCCCGCGTCCACTGCGCTTTTTCATCACTTACAGGCCAAGCTCACAGGCAAATGAGCTTGTTTTTGCAGTCACTCACAGCCTTTGCCTGACTACGTCATTTTCTTGGCACCCTTTTTCCTCAGCCGTACAGGTGACTAAGAAAGCCTCGATTCGACTCATTTGGGAAGGAAATTTGCATCTTTAAAAGTACATTTTTGCTTCTTCATGGCACTTTACATGATCAATAAAGTTGCATCTCACTATAATAGGTTGTACAATAGCAGATTTGTGCTGAAAAACAGCAAAAAATGATATTAAAGCACTTGACCTAGATCTAGATTATTTCGTTCTCTGGAGAGCTAAAAATAGGCTATGTTAGACCTAACTAAGGACGTCGTCTAGATCTCTGTTCTCTAATGTTTAGTGCTTCCAATTTTCCACAAATTTTTTGTTTTCTCCAGACCTTATCTGCCGATCCAATATTTGCCGCTTCATTGATACCCCCTCCCCCCCCTCCCATGTTTCCAACATTTTCACCGTCTTCGTTGTAAAAAGAATAGATCTAGTATCTAGAGTCAAGATCTAGAATCTAGATCTAGATCTAGGCCTAGATCTGATCTACATCTCGACATATGTTGCTTTGCCTTTCCTGAAACAGTGCTGTATATGAAGCTTAATCTACCCTACGCTGTCGAAAGTTCTGATGGCCGAGTGAACAGCGTGTCTGAGTTTGAAGACAAACATAATTTTGTGAGCGTGGGTTTGAATCCCAGTTCCAGTTTTTCGTTTTGTTTGTTTTTTTCTTCTTCTCATCCTAGAAACTTACCAACAATTTTACCCATAATTATAATTTGTTGCTTTTTAGTTTTTTAAAGAAGTAAATAAATCAATCAATCCCCAGTGCTATCTGTTGTTCTCGTAATCATAACACACTGGGCTAAAAATAGGTTTAGCTGGTCTGACATCGGTGGACACGGATCTTATTGAGTCGGTTCTACACCATGCAAAAACTTCGTACATTAGCCTGGCCTGGAGGTGATCTTATTTTGGTGGACGCGTAGCCTTACTGTGAAAAAAGAATAAGAGCAATTTGAAGATAATATTATCCCATGAAGTCTTACGCCATTTTAAAATTTCACATGTCTCCTCAAACAGGCATTCAGCATTTATTTCCAAAACAACTTGGTTGGTTTTAGTAGAGGTTTTACGGCGCTCGCAACTGCATAAGGTCAAATGAGCGCCAGAAGATTAGAGGTGTTACAAGAGAGTAACAAACATAAAAAAGAACAAGGGGAGATAAGGATGATAGATGTTTGATAGGAAAGGAGCAAACCACACCAGAGCACCCGCAAACCACCCATCCAAAACAACTTGAAAATTTAACTGAGAACCATTTGTGGAGAGAAAATAATGATGGACACTTGCATAGAATGAATGAAGATGCCAATTAATAATTACGATTTCATGGTTCCAATGTTTAGGCCCATAATTTGTAAACCCAGTGACTGTGAGAATGTATGAGTTAAAATAGCAACAAAGCCGATCACAAAAAATTAAAACACTTCTTTTCAGGGAGCACTTTAAACTAACAAAAGGCATGAAACATCAGTCTCATTACAAGATGGTTGAAGAACTTCACATCATTATCAGACAAAATTCTGCAAAATTACAAGCCACACTACTAGGTGGCAACAAGAAATAACACATCATAAACTAACAAAACTTTCTGCATTTCAAGCATCATCACTAGCTGGCAGCAAGGCCTAATGTCATAATCGAACAAAACTTTTTAAAGTTGGGCTATACCACTAGGCGGCTGTAAGATATTTGACCTCAGAAGCCTTCCCCCTCCAGCAGTCTTAGTGTAGTTGAGAATACCGAAGAGACTGTGCTGGCTTATGGGATCTCTCAGGTTTTGAAGGAGCTCCAAGTTTTTCACTGTTGCCGAATCTGTAGGAGAGGCCTCTATTGTATTAGTTCCTTTTTAAGCGGCTCCAATTTTTTTCAACAACTTAGAACATAAAACTACTGTGAGCTTGTTTTTTTAATCTGTCCTCAGAGAAATTTGCGCTCGCAACCCGCAACTTGCGCACGCAACTTTTGCCCCCAGCGCAACTTTTGCCATTTTCACGAAATCGTGAGTTTCAGCCAATTTTCCACGAAAGTTGGGGGGGAAAAAATTTCGTTAAAAAAAAAAAAAATTTCTTCCACGACTAAAAATAATGACGCCAAGGGGGACAATTCGCTCCTTTGCACTAGGCTACGGGGTGCCCGCCCAGTGCCCATTGTGGATGGGATCGGGACGGGTGAGGTCGGGTCGGGATGATCACCCGACTCGTCGCTTGAAAACTACGTGTTTGTTTTTGAGGCAACGAGTCGGGTGCGATCAACTTGTGCCATGAGACTCGCTTTGCGCCATCAATCTGTCAAGCAAACCAACCCAACCCAACCCCCCAATAATCCTGTTTGGACTGAATCATCTTCAAGCTAAATCTAGATCTAAATGTAGATCTAGAGTAAATGAATCATAAACACGATCGTGTGATTACTTAGCTTGCTTGGTTCCGTAGCACCAGGTGGATAGATCTAGTATAAAAATTTGTGAAAGACTTTTAATTTTAGTCTTAGGCTAGGAGGGTAGATCTAGACATGGATCGGTTCATCCAGAAAATCCCTAAAGAAATAATCTTACGCCTTGAAAGGGGTGTGTAAGAGAGAGAGAGGGAGAGAGGGACAGACAGACAGAGGGGGGGGGACTCCTGTAAATGAAAAGTATAAGAGAGGGGGGGGAGGGGAAGAGGGTCACGAACCAACGTAAGATTACACTTTTGAAAGGTGAAAAAATAACAAGGAAAATAATTTATGACAAGATAATTTTTTTTTTTAATAACAAAAAAAGAGTAACTATACTAATACTATTTACTTCGAGGGGTAAGCACGGCATTGTCGCGATACAGTAGGTCCTCGAGTGGCAAGCAGATATGCCATCTCGCACTTTATACACTGGTAGATATCTAGGCTACATGACATGTAGATCTAGTCTAATTTTGATTACACCACTCACTACGGTTTAAGTGGTAAAATGACACTGCAAATTTTTCCGAAAAAGTTCCGCTTGTACCATATTTAATTATTATGTCACATGTGTGTAAGCATGTTTTTCATGATTACTATTATGTAAAAGTAAAGCGCTTAGAAGAGTGACTGGGGGCTCTCGTGGCCTAGAGGTTAAGGTGTTGGCCTCTCATTCAAAGGTCCCGGGTTCGAATCCGGGTAGCAACCAAAAAATGTTCTTCTCTAAATTTGTCTCCTTTCACTTCATTTCCTGCTCTCTAGCAATGTTCTGTCTGCTTTCGTTTCCTCTTTCTGCCCCCACCCCCTCACCTCCTTTGCCCCTTCCTCTGGGCTCCTGATTCTTTCTGCAGCCTTTCCACTGCTACTCCTTGGCTCCTTCTTACTGCTGTCTTTCAGCCACACCCCTGATCTTCTGATAGGAAAGATCGACACCTTGCCTTCTCGGACAAGGGCGAAAAATCTCGGAGGGCCTGTGTGCAAGTTGCGCACGTTAAAGATCCCTCGGTGGTCTAAAATCGATAAAAGTAGGCTTCAGCCGCCACCCGGGCAAAATTCAAAATTTCCCACCAACTGAAAATATTAGGAGTGTCCCGCGCGCTCATATGACCTTATGCAGTTGCGAGAGCCGTAAAACACTTTACAAAAACAAAAACAAAGAAGAGTGACTGTAATACAGATTTGCGCAATATAAATGTCATATTATTATTATAAGCGAATAATGTCAAATTAGGTGGGGGGTGGAAAGTGTAAGAAAAGTGTAAAAGGAGTCCGAAAGAAGATGTAAGATTATATTTGAACAGTCCCAAACCACGCTGGTCACACCTGCCCAACACGTCAGCGAGAGTTTAAGGACCTGACGCATACGTCAGAGGACAAATCGTTTTTGTACAACATGCAACCTCCATGCAGGTTTTTTTTATGGGTAGACATTCACATATTTAACTTTTGATTTTGATCTAACAAAACTCATGTCGGTTACTTTGATTGCAATGAGCATACCAACAATGTACATATCCCAATAGTAACATGACATTCTTTTTGGCTATACACGTCTTGCAACTTTTCTTGCAACTTTTGCTATTTTCAAATGCAACTTTCTCTGAGGACAGTTTAATGTGAAACAGAAAATAGAGACAAATGCATTAAAAAGAGTTGTTTTTATTAAGTAGTTATCAGACATGTTATTCTTTTCCACAAAATATACCTTGGTCAAATTATGGGTTTTGGCATATGTGGATGAAGAACTTGAAATGAAATATTCCATTTTTAAGATTGTTCAAAATTCCCAAAAACTTGAAATTCTCACCCTAAATCGGTTATAAATCATAAATTCCAAACCCTAGAAGGGACTTGATCCAAAACCTTCATATTCCAAACCAAAGTAAATTCACAAGAACATGAAAGCTTCAAATAAAAAGTTAGGATCTTTCTTTTTCTTAGGTTCAAAAGTTGAATGCAGTACAAATACTTCCTTACCAATCATAGTAGAGTTCTCACATCCTTTGAACACAGCTTTCAAGGAATTTGGAGCAAACATGACATTCTGAATGAATTCCATGTACTTCAGTAAGGCACCAGTGGTGGCTAAACAGTAGTATCTGATACAGACAAAAACATAAAAGCCATGAAATTGGGGACATTTGACATCTGTACACAATGACTTTAAAAAATGTTGGTCGATAATAAAATTATGCAATTTCCAACAACAAAAAATATGAATCAGTGCGAAATCTCTTTTATAAGATTTTGGCCCTTTGTGATATCAGAATGTACGACATCTCGTTTATAAAAGTTGGCTTTTTGCGATATGAAAATTATCATACGAGTAAAAGTTTACAACATTAGTAGTAAGCTCAGTTGTAGTTTGCAGCAATTTATATGGCAACAGGTACTTTTCATTAGGTAACAGATTGGATATTGAGAATACAGAAAAAGAAGAAGTTCTAAACATCCCCAAAGCCCTCACCACCACCCATTTGAAAAGTAAGACGAGAAAATAATTGCATAGTTATGATGTGCTGCGACCAGGAAATAACAGACACAGAGAAGTACACTGGTACGGCTGGCAACTGTTCTCACAATAAAATCAAAATGCTTCCGAATACTAGGAAAAACTCAAAAGTTACCAAGGATTCCAAATAAATATAGTACTAACGGTCACATGAGACTTAATAAAGTGGAATCTACGACAACTCAACAATTTTCGGGTTATACCCCAACAACAAAAGTGAAATTAGAGTGAATCCAGAGGGTAATAAAATCTTTCTGACAAGAGCGTCTAATGCCCCCTGTTGCCATACATTCACAGTACCCACTTTGTTGAAATTTGAAGTTCAATATTTTTGTACTCAGTGGCACAAAGTTGCTTCACATACTGTAAACCTGCAAAAAGTAAGAGATACCTCTAAATGAGTGAAGTGAAACTTTTCATGTGCATGTTTGCATGTTAGTTAAGGAGAGAGAGGGAGAGATGGGGACAGACAGACAGACAGACAGACAGACAAACAGACAGACAGAGAGACAGACAGACAGAGAGACAGACAGACAGACAGACAGACAGACAGACAGACAGACAGACAGACAGACAGACAGACAGACAGACAGACAGACAGATAGACAGACAGACAGACAGACAGACAGACAGACAGACAGACAGACAGACAGAACAGATGGGCGGGCGGGCGGGCAGACAGACAAGACAGATGGGCAGGCAGGCAGGCAAGATAAAGACATAATTTTAACACCAAGGTGATTTTTTTTTCAATATAACATCCAACTTCAGTTAGACAAAATCAAGCAGGCATAGAGTTATGAAAACTCTCGAAACCCAAGTTCAAGACCACACAGTACAATATCAAGTTAAAAGTGGATACCTTAACTGACAGAGAAAAAATATCCGCCCAAAACGGAACTAAAAAAGTGTCTCACCAACATTGTAGAATCACACATTAATTTCTGTGCGAAGCATGTTTACAATAGCAGTTTTACTGACTGGCAACAATGCCAAATTCAGAGACTGGCAGTCATGCTGGAGATAAAACCTTATTCTATACTTCAAATTAAAAAAAAGAATATTTCAATATTTTCCAACTATTCTACTCGATGATACGAGCCAAGGTGTGCATGTACCAATAAAAGGATCTGACTGTGACATCTATTTACTATTTAGCCTTTTAAGATAACAGAAAAAGCAAAATTTAACATTGCTTAGAGATCATGTGGACCTGTATCATTCACAACACAGTTCAGTAACCCATAATAACATTATTTTTGCTTAATTTCAGTTAGAACTGCTCACCTTTAGTCTCACTGAAGTATCTTCTCTGTACAGATGATATAGTCACATTAGGAAACTGGCAAGTTATCAAGTTGAGCAATTTATTCTTGTCCCCAGCATCACATATCGTATTTGGCAAAAGAATCTGAAAAAAAAAAATTATGGACACCTAAATACAGTTGTTTTGACACTGCTCTTCATCTCAAGGGAAAGGACTTTTAAATACATGTAGTCATGAACATTAAAGCATTACCCCACAGGAGGAAGTGACAGCCAAAAGAAAAAAAACAAGCTATGTCTAGCTATTCAAAAGCAGTAAAAAATCTGTCCTGGTGTACAGAGTAGAGATGTGGATAGTAACCCCGGCAGGCAAAAAGAAGCTTCAAACCTTCACCAATGATACTTGAAACAGATTTTGAGCCTGAATTTGTCACCACCGAAAAACAGAAAGGCGGACAAAAAAGTGATACATGGAAGACGGTGAAGGATTTGACACACATTAAGAAAATCAATAACAAGTACAACCAGAATAGCACTTAAATGACATCCCCAGGATCAAAAGAACAGAAAAAAGAGCCAAGAATGTAGTGAAAAGATGCCAAGGAACTGGGAAAATCATGGACTAACAGGAGGAAGCAGCACAAAATAGACATTTTTAGAGACAAATACAGGTGGTCTAAAGGAGTAAAGATTGTTCCAACAGAGCACTTATTTGAGAGACACTGTCTTTCCAGCAAGTATATAAAAAACATGGATAAAAATAAGACACATGCACAAACACAGAGACAAATCCATACCCACGACTACAAATAGCACACACACACAAGCAGAGCAGTAATTAAAACTTAAACCATTTCAAATATAAATGGGTAACATAGAACCAAAAGACCATTAACCATTCTCTCACTTCCACCAAAGAATAAAAATTTGTATACATATTATGATATTGAATCTATACCACTGCAATAATTCACCTCAACAGGATGTATATTCTGTAATTTCGCCAATGTCATGGAGTAGGTCTGACTGTCTGAGAACTGGGACAGGTTAAGGACAGGCTGGCTCAAATCTAAACTGGTCATGCCAATTTCACCACGAGCAACTCCACGACCTTCCACCACAGCTGAGAGAGAAAAGAAAACATAGTTAATACAGGAATCTTACCATAAGGTCACATTCATTTCCAACTCAACCTGGTCACGTCTAGATGTTTAAAGAAATTGAATATAAGTCTCACTCCGTTGATATTTTTTTAAAAACATTTCTGTGTTGGTCACATATACACAATGATATATAAAGGCCTACATATTTTATACATTTGACTGTCAAATCAATAGTCCTACAGCAGAGTAGTTTGCATATATTTCTAGATCAAATAACGCTAAAAATGGAAAATATTCCGAACATTAACATAATCCTACAGAGATTGTTACCTGTGAACCAAACTATGTCGCATAAAATAGGTCAAAACACTAAAAAATCACACTGATTTAAGTGGAAAAACAAATGTCAAATGTGACGACATGCCTACTAAAGTAGTGGAATTGACATCATTAGAGACAGAACTCGATGCTGTGCGAGGGGTGCTCGTCTTCTTTCGTCCTCGTGGAGTTCGAATACTTGAGGAACATGATTCAAGTAGAGAACTGGAGCTTATTTTTGATGATGTCCTGTTCTGTAGTTTTGGCGTGCAAAGGTTAGATTGCTGTTCCGTTCTGTCTGCTGAACTGATAAAAGAAGGCAATACAAAAAAAGAGCAACATTGAAATTAAGACTTTGTCTCTGGCTCTATATTTTCCTGAAACTGCACACTAGTGCTTCCAGTGCTGTTAATAGGACGCAACGTGTGCAAAGATGAAAAAAAAGCAAAAACAAATGAAAATATTACAACCCAAGTGAGGGGTGGGGTGGGGGCGGGTGACTCAATTGTTCAGAGGTGCGATGCTTGTCTATTATGCAAAATCCTCGACTTGCAAAAGCATGGTCGACAATTTGAGACATTTTTCCATTTTTTACACCCCTGATCTAATAGCATACTTCCCATAGTGTGAATCTACAAGTTCTCAAATGCCAGAGCTGCAAAAAAGAAGATGGGATCAACCCAAGGAGTTTAGAACTAATGGAGCCTCCTCTCTCTCTTCGCGGCGCCGCGAGCAGTACGCCGCGTTGGGGATCAAATATGGCGACTGAGTGTGGGCTAAATCACGAACTGTGGCGTTTCTTTTTATAGAGTTCTATCGGGCTGGGCCACGTTGTGGGGGTGGGCGGGGTGGGGGAATGCACGCAAGGAAGAGGGGATGGGGCTGGGATGAAAGAGGAGGGGCGGGCCTTGGGAAGGGACGAAAGAGAATGGGGAAAATTAAATAAAAGAGAGAGAGAGAGAGAGACACACACAGAGAGAGAGAGAGAGAGAGAGAGAGAGAGAGAGAGAGAGAGAGAGAGAGACAGACAGACAGACAGACAGACAGACAGACAGACAGACAGACAGACAGACAGACAGACAGACAGACAGACAGACAGACAGACAGACAGACAGACAGACAGACAGACAGACAGACAGAGAGAGAGAGAGATTGTGATCAACTGACGGGCTGACGGATAATGACAGGGAGAAAAAAAAAAAATTCTGTGTGTGATACGGACTGTTTAATTATTTAAGTTTTATGTTATAGTTTAAAAATCAAGAAGATGTGTAAAATAAGAAGAAAACTTGTCCGAGTAACATAAAATCATCAAACATACCAAATTATTAAGATAATGTTTCAAGATGCTGAAAGATTTAATTATAAGAAATATTGGATAAAAATATACTTTTAAACTAAATTTAAGATATGATTGCATTATGATTCTAGGCGTGTGCCATAACTAACTTTATGTGTAAGGAATAGCGAACACAAAAGAGGGTCGATGCCAGCTTTACCTGATTGCTAACAGTATGTCTTGGTCTATAAAAAGTAATATTATTGATTACAATAATTTTGTTTCCTGTTTTTCACAAACGAACAAGGACGACGAACAAAGACGGGAATGGTTAACCTTCTTGACCAGTCACAATGATCTCTATTTAATATGATGAGACACCGCATTTTCACTGATCCAGTTGTGGGTTTTTTAATCAAGATCGATCCCATTGCTCGTTATTTAATTCTGTCCTTCATCTCTGACCGACATCACCGCTCACAGTCATGTCGTAACTCATCGATTGTGTTGTGGACGCAGCAATAAAAATTCGAAGAATGAAAGGCAGGCTCACTGCCAACATTACACAAAGACGATGGGGCAGTCCCGAGTACGGACGCCAGTCTGTCTAGCAAATTCAGGTGCAGACCTGATAGATAAGTGAGACGGTCGGGGAATCAAAAGCAAAGACGAAATCCCAGTTCGATGTGACTTTGTATGAGGCGGCCTTGGCCCTACCTAACGAATCATGCCTTGGCTGTAAGCTCAGGCGGTAGGCTCTTAATTGCCAGTTCGATGTTCGGCAAAATCAAAGGATTCGAGGAGTTCACACCTGGGCGTGATACCTTTGTCGTAAAATCCTTGCGCCTGGAGCAAACTTGTACCTCGCATCGAGGTTTTGAGCGGAGGTGTGATCGCATGCATGAGCGTGGATGACCTTTGAAGCTTTTTTTTGTTTTGTTCAGTAAAGTATGATATTTTGGAGAGCAGCGTTTTTAGTCCCTTATTATACTCCAGAGGGGAAAAATTTATGTTAGTGATGACTCTTGTGTAGTAAAATTTGTTGTTGCTTTGTTCGGTTTATTTTTTAACAGCAGAATCTTAAGTTAACCGGAATTGTGGGATCTTAGGTGAAGACTACAACAATAAAATTAAATCGAGTATAGACATAGTTCTATCAAACAAGACTCAAACTCTTATCCACCCCACCCTACCCTCTCCCCTCATCTGATATGGTTCGGTGTTTCTTTAACATAGAAAATATTCATCATTATTGTTGTTGAGTATTTGATTTCATATTCTAATGGAGCCCCCAGATATCTACATTTAGACAACATTTGTATCTAATTTGCACACACAAAGGAAAGCAAAATCTTTATATAAAAAGTATATACACACACAATATCTATATATATATATATATATATATATATATATATATATATATATATATATATATATATATATATATATATATATATATATATATACATAAATAATTATATATATAGAATAAGAATAAGAATACTTTTAAAAAATCAAGTATCTCGGTCTTTCTTCTGGGGCGTTGTATCCCTTTCAGCCTGGGATGGCCTTGGCAGGAGCGCCTGAATGTTAATGATCTATATTGTGTTGCTGGAGGCATAAAAACACTTTCATTCAAATCTTTTTAAAAGGAAAACAACTTACCTGTGAAAACTTCGGTCCACTGCAGCATCATATCGGTTCTTACACTTAAATACAACACAGGTGCAAGGCATTTTTACTAATTGACTTGCCTTATCTGAAAGATCTCGGAATAAAACCTTCTTTCTTATCTAGATTTCAGTGCGTGAGCCGGGGATTCGTGCAGCGCAGGTAGCCCACAGTTCCGCCGCGAGAGAGGGCTCCTATCAGGCGTGCGGTGCCACCCACAGGGCATCCTCCATTACTTTTAATCTCCTTGGATCAACCTTGGAACGATGGTTTTGAGAAATTCAAAAGCATAGTACCACTGGGAAGAATGCAAATTTTATCAATCGTTTCCTACTATCAACAAAATTAATTAACCTCTATCTGAGTCCGAGTAGTACAACACACCTGGAAGAAAATGATGGATATACAGATGCAGAGCTGGAAGCACCATGTACCTTTCCTGATTTCCCATTTTCTGAATCTGATGGGGTCTGTAATAGGCCAAAAGCTGTGAAACAAAGAAAGGTTTTTGATATGTAACTATTCATTTTGAACCCATTTTGAACTGGAGTAACCCAACATTCAACAAAAAGTTTCCTTGAGTCTTTCAGTTTCAGAAACATGGTGAATTTGACAAAAATAACCTTGTGATTATAATTAAAATTTGTATATTTATTATACTTTTTGCTATACAACAGTACAACAGTCTATAATAAACAGTTTAGGGAAAACCGAGGAATAAGTTTAACTTTGATAACAACATTTCCTGCAGGATGCTGATCAATAATAAATTATAAACACAACTAGGAGTGACGATATATGCTCATCACAGTATGATATGAGAGTAGATAGTTTCACAACTTTTAAAAAAAAATAAAAACAAAAACCACACAGCTAGTGAGCACCATTTTAACTGAAGTACATGTGTATATTACAAAACTATATAAAAGCGTTTCATTCTGTCTTGTGTTCAATGCAGAAAAGTTCAAATTTTTATATCAGAAAAGGGTTTCAGCATGAATTACAAGGTGGTTTGTATGTCCACATTATTGATAAATAATCTAACTGTCAACTGGATATAGTTGAGGCATAACTAAATAACCTAAATATTTTGTATAAAAGAGTGGAACATTTTTCATTTAATTTGAGTCCTTTGGGTACCTAATAGAATTTGGTATTCAAAAGTGAGCCTTGAAAGGAGACACAAACTTTACCATACAACAAAAATGAAGACTATACTATACTACGCAGATTTATATAGAATTTATTCTTTAAAATTCTAGACATGACAAACCTTCTGACAAAAAGCAGTATTATTTTCAATTCTTGATTGAAAAAGTCTGATTTCATACAAATTCTTCCCCACTCTTGTTTGTCATGGATGAAGGAAAATACAAAGACACACCCCATTCTTGCTTACCTTTTGAGAATGGCTTAAATTTGAAAAAAAAAGGCCCAAAAAAACCCCACCTGTTTGACAACTAGATCAAGACTATCACTAGATCTATCACCAGTACGAAGATTTAATGCATTTACAAATGAAGCAATCAGATCACTAGAGCTACTAATGCTTATCAAGACTGGCAGGATTGCACGTATAGATCTAGGCCTACATAAAAGCCCCTGTTCCAAATAAAACTTCAGAAAATTAACCCCCCCCCCCCCCCACATTCCAAACAATATAATAATAAATAACTCACCAAAAATATTACAACCCATCATAGGATACTAAAAAAACTGAGAGAAAAAAAATGCAAGCAGCGATTCTAAATCATACATATATGTTAGAGAACGAACAGTAAAAGTAGGCTAAGTAAATCTAGAGTCTAGTATATAAGCCTAGATGTCTAGATCTAGAATCTAGGTGTAAAATAAAAAATCAATAGGCCTATAACCAATAGACCTACAATCTAGATCTAGATCTAATATCAATACAGTATTTTACTTAAAAGACTTATGCCTAGATCTAGTCCTACATTTTTCTCTAATTATTCATATATAATATATATACTAGAGTCTATGCTAGAAAACAAACTGAAAGTGAGAAGCGCAATAAACTGCTGGTCATGGCCTCCGGTACTTTAACCAAAGACTTATTTACTTTCTACACCCCCACACACAATATTGACATGCACTCGACCTGTAAATATGTAATAAGAACAGTCCTGTATGATGGCAAAAAGTCAATTGATTCTGTACCAATGAAGCTGTCCCATGCAGATTAAGTCTACACTACAATCAAATACTATACAAAGCTGGACGAAGTTAGCACACAACTGTTTTCCATCATTATGTAATCAAACTTTCTTCATCACACTTCTCAGTTCTCAGGATTCTAACACTGTTGTAACAAAGTGGGGAAGTGCGTCAAATGCTAATTTATAGAACTTGGTGTTTAACTGGGGTGACGGTGGATAAGGGGAGGGAAGGGAGGGGGTAGGCTCATTGTTTTCAGCCCAGACCCTGACAGCCGAGAGCCTATCGCTCCTCGTTATAATTCTATTAGAATAAATCTTCACTACACGATTCCTTTTTTCGCCGGCTAGACTCATATATGGGCCAGGTATGTTATTAGTGGGGAGAAAGCCATGAATAGTCACCAAACAGGAACTATAGGTGGCTAAAAATTCAATACACAAAAAAGATTGGTGCCATGCTGACAATAAATGTTCTGATGATAGTTAGAGAAAGGCTGAATAATAAGTACAGTCAAACCTGCCTTAACGGAAACCTGTGTAAAACGGAAACCTGTCTTAACGGAATCTCCCCGCTCCCCCCCTTGATATATTTCTCTTTAATTGCCTGTATAAAACGGAAACCTGTCCAACGCGGAAACGGAAAGAAAAATCCGCTCCCTTCCGAGGGTTTCACCTGTCTAAGACGGAAAATGCTTTGCCCGTTCAACCCTGATTCGAAACAAAACTCGCAAGTTTTGTTCCGACGGCTCTAAACTTAACACTATGCTGCTGGGCGAGAACGGGGAGTAGGGGTGCAATTTGGGGGTAGATGTTACCCCATCATGTGAGCCCTGAGCGATGCAGATGGTCAGTGTAGTGTGGGTTTGAAATCTCACGACTGCCCGTGACAGTGCTCGAGTTGCGAGCCACTACGGAAACTTTCTTGGGTAGCCAGAAGCCAGAGGTATGAAATTAGATTGACCAATGTCAGCCAAGAAAATAATTCCTCGAATCTCGTTGTTACATGATGGCAGTGAGTGTGAGGGGCGGCATTGGTTGACAACACAGAGGCCAATTTGGCAATCAAGGGATGCTATATTCGCTCTCAGGGTAGTCAATGGATTTTTCATAGGACTGAGGTCATCGCTGTACCAGCCATGTTCATTTGTCCTCGTACGAAGTTCCGCGACGTGATGGCTTGACGGGAGACGATTTAAAGTTACGAGCCGGTGCGATAAACAAAGGTGAAGAAATGAGGCTCTGTCGCGACAAAACAGCAGTGAATCCCACTTGTCTATTTGAACGCCTTCAAATCGGCAAGGTGCTTTTTTGAATGTTGATACATGTTTATTCGGATTTACTTAAAACTGAATGAAAATCATCGTCAGCAATAAATCTCTTGTCAACAGTTTAGCTGACAAAAATTTGACCGGCACCGCCGGGCCCAGTTAACAAACCGCCCCTGAATATAATGGCACTTTCAGTGTTGTTATAATGGGGGCAGAAGTGGTTATTTGTATGGGGGGCATAGTCATAGAATTTTGTCGAGGGACTTTTCATGATAATGGTTCATCAAAGGGATCGCCATGAACTCATATTTTGGCATCAGATATCATTTGCAAAATGATTCATCATCATCATCCAGTGCCAGATCTTCGACAGACATCGGCGATCATGGTTTTCCGTTCATTCCTTTGCTCGGACGCTCTCAAAAAAGCTACTTTTCCCTGTTACCCATTTTTGTTTAGGTTCCCTAAGTATGTTGTTATGGGCCTACCTCTGCCTCGCTTGCCCTCAATTTTGCCAGTGAGAGCTAGATGTTCAAGACCCTTATAATGTCTAGTCAGGTGTCCCAAAAACTGCATTTGTCGTTTCCTGATTCCTTTATGATTACATAAATATTTTTTCCACAGCCATGGCAACAACAACAACAATTTAAAGAAGAAGTGACTCAACTATTCAGAGGAGTCGATGATTGCTGCATTATGTGATAGTGTTGGCAAAGGGATGAAGTTTAAGAGAGGCTTTGTACAGATTCGTGGCATGCCTTACGCTTAGTATCTTTAATTCTTGTTCTTTCTGCAATCGTTTTTGTATAGCAATGTTTCTTGTTCATGTACCTATTTGTTCTTCTTTAAACTTCATGTTTTCAATTTCATACGTGCATGGTTACTCATTGACTTGATGTTACTTGTTACCTTGGTTTGTTCTCTTCCCAAAAATGAATACAGTGGAAACTTGATATAACAGGGATAGTGGGAGTAGAGAAAATGTCCTGTTATCTGCGATCCCTGTTAAATCAGAAATGCAAGGAAAGTAAGCATTTGTGGACTAATCCAGCTGTACTTATTCATGGGTAGTTTCCTTTGCCACAAGTACCCACGAACATGGGTTTTGGCACCAACTTTCTCCATTGCCTCACATCAGAAAGGCTTGGTCCACAGCATCTGCATCGAGTAGTCTCATCTTCTTTCGATCCAGAGCAAACTTTCCATTGGAGTATGCTGCTACTATCTTCTCTCTATCCTTGGCAACGGTGTGAATTGATCCTTGTGGAATGTCGAACTGACGACAAATCTCTGCCAGTGGAGCTTGCTTTTTGTCAAGAGCCTGGATTATTTCATATTTTTTGTCTATTGAAAGGCATTTTCTCGTGCGCTTGACATCGTTTTTGACACATTACGCGTGTGTGTTGCTAGGTTTCGAGCTAGATCACGTCACACGCTGCGTGTGCTTGCAGTGGCATGGCTTGCGTGGGCTTGCTCCATCACTGCGCTACTCTCTCTCTCTCTCTCTCTCTCTCTCTCTCTCTCTCTCTCTCTCTCTCCACATTGTAACGAGCCTTTGTCCCTGCTATAACCGGTTGGGCTGCGATGAGGCCCTGTTATTGCCGATAACTTTTAATAGAGACAAAGAGTAGGAAAAAACGGGGATTTAAATAATCCCGGGCCTGTTATATATGGTTTCTTGTATCATATTATATTCTTGTTCTTAATGTAAAGGTTCTTATTATCAATGTCAAGTATCTTGTTCATGCAACAGTTTGTTTCTCAATATTTTCAATAGCGTACATGATGTATTTGGTTACTCATTGAATTGCCTTTTTGTTCTCTTCAACAAAAATAAATTTAGGCCAAATGCTCTGGTGAAACCACCCCTTCGTATTTCCCCCCCTGTTTTTCTCCGCATTGTTGAGTAGGTTTATTAGAGTTTACTTGTCCCTTGATGAGGTTTCAGAGTTTCAAATAACCTGGACTCTCATAAGGACAGTGGGCAATCATAACATCTAGAAGAAAGCCTTCTTGACACTGTCAGATGATATATGTAGGCCTACTTGCAAAGTATTATGATGCCTGTCATGAGAAGAGACACAGTCTATAGTTTTATCACACTGGAAATCAGGCCCAAAGTTTAAAAGCAGACAGTACTCCAGATCAAACAACTAACTTATGGTGTCTAGGGCAGTACAGTAAATTATTACATGCACGTACGATCTAGAATCTAGAGTCTAAATTTAGATATATTAGACATAAAATAATTAGTACACAAAGTAGGCTACAAAGGCTCTACCATACTTAGGGTGTCGTATCACGCTACTCATAATCATTAGTTTACACTTTCTGGTGCTTTCAATTTTATGTTTGGAAACGCTTTGCTCTGATTGATGCTGTTCGATGAATAGAAAATGAAAGTAAAATACAAAGCCAATGTTGGATTTAGCCTAGGCCTAAATTACATCTAGATCTAGATCTAGATTAGAATCTAATCTACTAATCTAGAGAGATTTGAAAATGTGCGGTGGTTGAAACTTAGATCTCTATGTCCCATGCCCATGCCAAATTGTGGAATAGAGTAGTCTAGTAGTCCGCCCAGTCGCCAATCGGACGTCTGCTTGGTTTCTTAGTTTCTTCAAAATGTTTTGGACAATCCCTCGGAAAAAATAATGACTTAATCTATTTTTAACGTAATTTTTTTTAAACAGTTCAACCAATTATATTCTTTAATATCTAAATTATGTTATAAATTGTTTAAATGAAATGTGCTCTTATTTTTTTAAACTGCGTTGAAACAATTATCAAATTCCCAATGTTGATTATAATCATAGATGTACACCAATGATAGTACATAACAAGATGGTTCACTCAGCCAAAAAAGTGTCCGCAGGAAGTATGCTCTTTGCTTCAGATGGCGCTGCGGTCTGTTTTGAAGCTCTCTTTCGTTTTTCCAGAAGAAGAATAGGAATAGCACCTCCTTGCGTGCGCAGATCGACTGCTGTTCATCAGCAGTTCGGGTACGTTCAGTGCGTAGTTTTAGGTTTTTTTTTATTTTAATGACCTCTCGCCTTTCATTCTAAAGTCAAATTAAACGAAGAAAACCATCACCCTTTCCTCCGGAAAAGGTTTTTTGTCAGCGTAACCATTTTAAAAAAGCGTTCTTCCGAAATTTATCCCAAAACATGCTAGTTTCACTTTGATTTTTAAAAACTCAAGTAGGGTAACTCTGTTCGCAAAGTGCGCTTTTGTGAAGAGGGCGCCACCAAATTTTGAGGACACTTTTTTTAATTGGCTCAAAGAGAGAAGTGGCCCATCTTGTTATGTACTATCATTGTGTACACAAAAGAACAACTCAGATACGAAGAGAAGTCGATACTAGTAGTCGATAATAAATGAAATAGAATAACAGT